CGGCTTTCGGCGGATTTCACCAAAGCGGGAATAAAAATAAAAGAAATCCCCGAGAGTTTCTTGGATTTCCCATCATAGTTATTCGTAAACCCTCGAAATGATATTTACCACCTCATCTTTTTTCGAGTTTAGTTTAAATTAACTACCTTCTGGTGGAAATCCAGGTCAACAAGGAAATTAAAATTAAAATGGAAGCGCGCCCAAAACGCCAGTTTATGAAACCGACGCAATTTCTCAGGCGTTGAGCCCTGCGGTGAGCGGCGGCGCTAAGCCATGGAAGGCATCATGAGGACGTGGTCGCGCAATAATTATGTAAACAGCGTCTCGCGGTGGCGTTAATTGCCTACGCCCGAATTCGACTAACTGCCGTTTACTCTAGGTATCTACCCTATCCTACTCGAACAACACCCCTGTAATAGTAATTGTAATTGTATTCCAAAGTAGTTTACCAAGTAAACCAATACTGAAACATTTGCAAATTCTATTTATATTTGACATTTGACAAAATATCGTCAAGGTTCAACGTTGGTCAAAGTTCAAGACAAGTGTTTACACCACTGATAAATTAGTTTTTAATAAAAGTTAAGAAAAGTTGTGAATGTGTGTGCATGACAGCCGCGCAGCTTGACCTGATTATTTCATGTCGCAATTACGCACAAGTACCTTACCAGATGTTTAATTTAAAACTCAGAAATTTCTAATTTTTACTTTACACTTGATTTCCAACCATATTATGCAGATATAGCATAAAATGATGATGATTTATGATTTATAATGACAATAAGATTAATGCAGCACTTTTCGAGAATACCGAAAAGGTTAAACCGGTTAAACTCAACCAGAATAGAAATAACAATCGTAGTAAATTATCGACTGCAAAGAAAAACTGCAAAACAAGTGGAAACACAGCCGCGTATAACGAGGAAAATTACCCCGAAGCATGAAAGAAAATGCCAGCAGCGCCGAGAAAAAAAAACAGCAGCAGAAAAAGAATCGGAAAAGTAAAATGAAGAGAAAAAAGTGAACACAACACAACGGAAAACTTTTCAAAGCATAAAATACACGTGTTGTAGATGTATTTTCGCATGGCATGCCGCGTTTTTTTTTTCCGTTTTTTTAATTTTCCATGCTTTCAAGTGCGAACATTAAGCATGTTTGTTTTGCAGCGCGATATTAATTTTAATTAACATGAAATTTGCACACAACGCGTTATTTCTCCGCGCGCAAAAAAAAAGAATCGAAATTACCATGGATCGTGAAAAACCCTCAAAACGAGTGTGTCATGCGTCCCAGATTCAAGTCAATGACATTAAAAACCTAAACAGATTTTATAGGGTTTATACGAGCACCTTATGGCTAAGAGTGGAGGAAAGGAAATAGTGCGCCACTGGACGATGGTGATGGCGATGGGCGAATTTAGGTGCTGCACGTTTCCTTTTTACGACTTGCAAAATACTCCAGCACATCAACACCTCAAGGAAATCGATATTACACTCGTACTGGTGGTACTCATGTCAAACTCCGAAGGCATATAAATTTACCATTTTTGACTTGGATATGAGAACGATGATGAACATGTTCATCTAGGTAATTGCTGATTAAATTTTCAAGAGAAAAACACGAGTAGAGACAAGATATGTGAATTTTTAGTTCAAAACCGGTATTTTGGGTTGATACCGGTATTAATTCTGAGACTATTTCTATAATATTAAACGGTTTTGGTATTGAAATGAAAAATACCGGTATTTGAAAAATAAATACCGGTTAACCGGTTTTAATACCGGTATTTTACACCTTTACTAAAGTCTGTCAAACAGTAGTGTTTTTAGAGAGACAGAAGTAAAACGTGAGAAGTCATTACAAAAACCCACATACCACTAATATACAGAGTGTTTCAGAAAGCTAAATGTCTCTGAATTTACTTTATTTCCTTTTTCTTTATGAATTTATATCCTGACCTATTACTCTGGACTCTAGAGATCCCCGCGTCGGTTATACGGTTAACCATTAAAACATTTTAGCGCCGGTGCGCTTTTTCTAGCTCGTTAATCATAAATCAAACGGCGCATTTTCCCTCCATGCTCTCCGCCATGTTCGCCATTTCCGAGGCAAACGCAGACTTTGTTAGTCTCCAGCTCGCGTCCATTACGGTTAATGCGAGAGGACGACGAGTTAATACCGACCACATCACCCTCCTTCCCTTACTCCTACTTTTTGCGAAAATAGCAACCAAAGCAGAAAAAGTAAAGTAAATACAAGTACCTATACTACACTACTACCACCACTACTACCACTATAAATAAAAAGTAAACGTTTTCCTTAAAATATTTCCCCACCGGGCACCAGTTGGATAAATTGTTAAAGCTGACAGATTTATACGCGGCGTTAAACACCTATCGTAATGGCACGTGAGTAAATAATTTAGGAGAGCAAAGAAAAGCACGACGCTGATGCATATTATGATAACAATATATAAAAACGGAATAAAAATAACACAAAACAAATCATGCGCCAGACATGTGCATGTTAAGTACGAGTATAATTAATGAGTTTAATTACACTGCGCTCGGGGTGCAAGAAAACTTTATCGAAATGATAAGTTTAAGGCCTAATCATGTGCACACTGTGTGCACACATAATATAAAGTTTGTTGTTGGGTTAATTAAAGTTTAGCAAAAGAGGAAAAAATACAACGCAACAAAGAAAAGCAATCAGGAGGTAAATACTCCAAGGTACAATCTGACGACAGGAGTTAATCAATAAAGAAATCACGTATAAACATAATAAAAACCTGAAGTTTCTTTTGAAGCAAATAGAAGCTAAATAGAAGATATTTTTAATTTTAACTTTTTGACGTTGAGCACAGAGCATCAAAAGTGAATAAATTTTGAATGAGAGCAGTAAATAGATGCCAGTCAAAAAGTCAGATATCCTTGCTCGCGAAAGGAGTCATAGATGTAAACATAGAACACATCTTGCGAGTGTACATTTATATTTACACGATTTACCAATGCGTGTAATCACTATTAATAGTGCAAAATTCCAAAAATATAATAAGTATTGAAATACCGGTATATTTATAATCAAATACTGATCATCCTTACTAATATTATAAATGCGAATGTCCTGATGTTTGTTACACTTTCACGCAAAGACTACTTAACCGATCATCATGAAAATTTGTACACATATTCTTAGTGGTCCCCGATAGGTTATAGGCAACTTTTTATTTAATAAAAAAAATAATTTTTTAAATAAAATAAAGAAATAGTTTAGCCAATAATACCTCTGCATCTGGCTATTTGACTACTTTAACGCCATCTAGCATTCCAGCAATGAAGCTCAAACCTAAGTACTATAGTACCATCACACTGTATTATCACATTGTATTACCGACAGCTACGTCAACATCAAATCCAATTGACTACACTATGGAGACTGTACACTATACTTCCATAGACTATACTTTCAGCCATTTTAAACTTCCCGCCATTCTACTTCATTGTTACTTCTTCTGTGACTACAGACGCGTACGGAAGCAACTTCATTATTTTTGATATTCGCGAACGAAGCCAAGGGTTAAAGCCAGTTTTCAATATGATACTGCTTCCGATATAAACCGGTATTGAAAAATATTGGTATTTTAAATAAAATACCGGTTTTTCAATACTTATTTTGAATTTTTAAAGAATACCGGTATTAAATTGAGAATTCAACCCTTTCCAGGAAGGCTGCGCATGCATTATTACCACTACATAATTATAAACACTCAAAATTAATTGAAAACAAACAAAAACACGTTTTTAAACAAATTCCAACACTTTCTCAATCCCCAAACAGAAAAATAATCACCCTACCGATGTTTTCACATCATCCCTTCGCTTCTGCTTCTGTTCTTCACCCCTGTATCTTCAATTTCCACGTTTTGTATTCAAAATGATCAGCATACCGTAAACACATGCGTGTACAAAGTGCAATATGTTACAGTGTAAAACACAAGCAACAAATGTAATTGCACTCAATTTTTCAATGCTTTTCATCACCGAAACGCAAAAAGCAAATATAAACAATTTTTACGATGATTCAATGCATTCATTAAATCATTAAATTCACGACCTAGTAACACAAATTTCTCCCTATAATAATAATAAAAAACCAGCCTAAATTATACCCAAAATAAAAGCAAATCTAACCTTGTTTGAAAGCCACACATACACGTGATTAAAATGCATGTTTGTGTGCATGCCCGCCGAGTTTATTGGCGTGTTGATACGGCGTTACTAATTAGAAACATTCCGTTGCAGAAGCAAGCAGTCAAACACACTCTCGGATATACAGTGTGTTTACATTACATTACATTACAAAACGCCGGTTATTATTGGAACAATATTCAACAATAACAATAACATAATGTGTACAACAATCGTGTACAAACAAGCCGTAATTTATGCTCGCTTAATATTCACCGCATTTTTCCTATTTACTTTTATTTGAACGGTGAATCCAAACAAGTTTTAACACAATATATTAATCGATGATACGCACCGACGAATAAATTCACTATTCATGAATTATTAACAATATGCACGGATGCGGATAAACGACCTAACTGCACATTTGTCTACCAGTTTATTCTTTTATGTGAATAATGACTCATAAACGTAGAAAAATGAAAGAAAAAATGTAATATTTAGGTTGTAATCAAATTCTGAGTAAGGTATGCAACCAATTGTACACTCGGGTGTAAAATTAGGTTATGTAAGTTGAAAATCTCTTATTTCTGAGTCATTAAACTATAAAATTAAAAGAAATGCATAAATATTTGGGTAGTACTAAAATTTTGAGTAAGATATGCAACCCAGTATGCAATAAGGTGTGAATTGAGGTTATGTAGGCAGGAAATATGTCAATAAATCAATGACATTTTAATTATGCAAACATCCGGCGGAATAAATGCATAAACCGTAGGCAGATTGTTGCAAAATATGATATTCGCTTACCTCGCCGCTCTCAGCCGCTGGCGAATCGTCAATGATGTTGAAGATGATGGGCGGCAGGCCGGGTTTGCCCAGCAGCGAGAACCCAAACCCGCTGTTCTCGCTGCGGCTGAGCACCACGAGCAACTCTTCGGCCATTTGCAGCTGCAGATGCTCTCCTCCTCACGACATCGAAACACCAAACATATGACGATCACTACAAACAAACAAACTGTCAACGTTACACATCAACTATATTGTCTATTACATACCTGTTATGTTGCACTAACAACACCACACGTTTATCTTGTTTTATTTTGTTTATTTTGATTTAGTAACGCGTGACGCACGATTAATTTCGCTTTACTTCACCAATTCACATAACCTCCGTGCGTGTTTCTTCGCGGAGTGACCTCACCATCGACAACACCTAGCCAGGCATCTGCTGCGCTTGCTGCATCCACATAACACAAAACATACACGACGAATTTCTATTTCAATACGAAACGAACGAAAAAAAACCACCACTGGTTGTCGATAATGCAGAGCGGTGGATACAGTGGTGGTTGTACTGCATTCGCAAACGCGGAATTCACTGCGCGAATCGCGAATCAATGCGGCAAGCGCGGCGATCACCACACCGAGTGCAGTCTTCGGCCAGCGCCAGCATCACGCACACAGAGCCGCGCGCCGGCGAACGAAATCACCAAGTGCGCAAAGTGCGACCGAAAAAACAACAAGCGCCATTGTTGAAATAAAACATCAACCACCGCTCCAAAACCACACATCGCGCGCCCTCTATATACCAAACCCTAAACTAACCACTCAAAACTCATAAAACATGGCCGTCTCTTCAAATACGAAAAAACGTAGGTATTTTATGATGATTTCCAGCGATGATTTGCAAAAATCACAAATAACATCGCCACATCTCGCTTGAGATAATCTATTCCGTACCCGCCTTGACCCCGCACGCCTCATTTTACATCATCGCGCGTCACTTTATCGATGCGCTGCCACTGGCTGCTTCCATGATTATGAATTAGGTAACACACTTGTTCGGATAATTACAAGAAATAGTTGAACGTTCACTTTCCCATCCAAGCGTAGAAAAGCGAGCGAGCAGCGCAAAAAAAGTTCAACAACCTTGAGTCCAGCACGAATCAAAAATTCACTTGCATATTATACAAGTGACACTCTGGGCGCATAAAGTGGTACGCAGGTTATTTTCGTATTCTAATCTTACTTTGAACAAATCCCAACAAGGTCGTACGGAAAACAAGTGAAAATGCAAGGTGTTTCGTCGTTGGTAAAGAGCACAATTCCCAATTACTTGTCGAGTCTTCCGATCCCAGACTCGATAGGCGGATGGTTTAAACTTGGAGGTAAGTATTTGGATAAATAAAAACTTATGATACCTAATTATTTGTTGTAATGTGTAGTTAAAGACTGGGCGGCGCTGATTCCACCAACTGCAGCACTTGCAGGCTTCACTTACATTACCTACAGAGCGTTTTGTCCTCATGGCAGGCCTGCACCATGCGGAAAAGTGAATCCAAACATCCTGAAGACCAATCCGAAGGTGGTTGACTCTGTGGATGTGGAGGATATTGCCGATAAGGCAGCGTTCTGTCGCTGTTGGAGAAGCAAAAATGTTAGTATTGCTAAATTAATATTAATTTATTTAATTTTTTTATATATTTTTATTCTAGTGGCCTTATTGTGATGGTGCACATGGTGTTCACAACAAAGAGACTGGTGATAATGTAGGCCCGGTTGTTGTCAAGCGAGAAAAGTGAAGAAGATAATATTACTGATGTGTTTAGCCAAAACTCTTAGATAATTTTCCGAAGAAATAAATTGTTACAAGTACTTTAGGTGTTTGGTTGCTGCGGGTTTTTTGCTCACTTGTTAACAGGCAATTTTTGATTGCTTGATTATTTTTTGTTACATTGATAGCTTCAAGCAAAGTTATGTGTTCAAAATAAAGTAAACATGCAAAACACACATTTTTATTATTGTTTTACGCAAATTTATCAACAATTTTAACAATAAACTGAATAAATTACATGAAAATAATCTTGGCAACCTTGTATAAACCCAAATTAACCTCACTTTTTTATAGAACATCAACATAACACATAACAATTGAAATAATAATTTAAAACTTTGATTATTAACAATACAATCATGATGGAAGTTGATAATGATGAAAATTATGTTTTAAACAAAGCTAGATCCGCACTGAAGACAAATTCAGTCTCAGCAAAAGCCTGGATGATTATGGCTAAGACTTTATATCCAAACAACTTCGGAGTACAGTTTGAAGCTTACAAAAACGAAAAAAACGCTGGAAATGTAAAGGAAGCCGGTAGATGCTTCACGGATTTAATCGAAAAATTCCAACAAGTGCCTGAATTCTGGGAGGAAATCAATGCTGTAACACAAGCTCTAAGAACCGAGAGTGAACTTGATGCACAAAAACAGTTTCTCTCGGAAATGTTTAAGCATTTGTCCACGGAAGTACAACATAAACTCTTGTTAATCACTGCGGATCACTGTGAAGACACTCAGGAACATTGTAAATTACTACTGCTGCTCTTACAGAAGTTTCCATCATCAATATCATCACATGGGGTAAAAAATTGTTAATTTTTTAGAATTTTTAAGTTAAAATTTATATTTTTGTAGATGGGATTAATTGAGACGTTACTAAGTGCAGAGAAACACAACGTGTCAGGAAATCAACCCGTAAACAAATACAGAGAGTTGTTAATCTGTGATTTAATCCCTCTACTGAATAAAGACGGATGTATTCTGGATTTATCACCGAAATTGATCTTTAAACTACTGCACAAAGCCATAGAATATCATTTATTTGTGCTCTGGGGTTATATTTGCAATAAAAAGGTAAAATGCACTCAAAAAACCTCAAAATTTTCATAAAAAATTCATTTTATCATAATTTTAGGATGATTCCAAGCAGAAAAGTGAAGATTCCTGGTCGAATTTATACAAAACCTTCGAGTTTGTCTGTCACCAACTACACTGGGAGAAATTCCTGCCATCTTTCAGCACAAACTGGTGCAAGGATACTTATTGGGCCAAAATACTAAATCTAATCCAATCACCAACGTTTAACATGGAGGATACTCAATCGCACAAACAAATAACATATGCCGTTGCCATCTTCTTGCTTTATTGCTTATATCAATATTTATATTGTTTAAATATTGAAAATGTGCCAGGACAGAATTATCCTGCGTATTTATTGGTGCAGGGATTCCTCGACGCGAGTTTCCCAGCGTTTTCGAGTGATCCCATCGCGAGTATGAGCGCAAAACGTCGAAAAAGCACAGATTGTAATAATACAGAGCCAGTTGTGGTGACAATCGAGCCAAAAACACTCAAAGCAATCATTCCCAACTTTACAATGGCTGTAAAATGCTGGGATTTGCTACATTCCGCCGATCAGTTAAACCGCGAGTTTATAAAGTTGAGTGGAGCGTTGAATTTGGAGCATTGGCTGAGTACCTTTCTCGTAGATCATTTAATTTATAAAGATAAACATGAAGATGTCTTGAGGAGACTTGAAAATGACTCTGGGTATCCACAACTGCCGAAATTAATCCTCAAAGCACAAGCATTCTTTCTACAACGCAATTATATCGTAAGTTTTAAAAAATTAATTTTTTTTACTGAAAAATGCTTAAAATAATTTAAATTTTAGAGGTCTTATGATAATATCCGTGAAGCTCTTCAACTTCTACCGGAAACCACCGGAGAAACATGCGAGAATCTAATAATAGGCGGAAATCAACGCCATTTACACTTTTTGCCATTGACACGCGTCGCAATCATCCAATTCCTCGCGAAATTCATCCTGCATGGCATCCGCGCAAACGGATTCAAGACAGATATGTCCGTGGGGCATTGTTTTGTCCTCATGCAAATGGACTGGCCGAATGAAGAGAATTTCCTGCCAATGCTCATCCAAGAAATATGCAAAACCCGCACGTTTTACTATCTACCATTTCAGACTTACATCATCGAAATAGACATACTAGAAGAGTTGGCATTCTTGTGGAATAGCCAAAACGGACAAATCACATACGAAATACTACCCAACATGTTAACCCGCAGGATAGGCACGCGTGGAGCTGATAAAGGCATTCGAGAAGAAATCAAACATGCCATCAAGGGACAAATCGAAAAAGTTCACGACCCCATCCATGAACTAATCCGACAGTTTTTGCTGCAGGAACAAACGCACATCTCTGTGAGTCTATTATAAGTTGTAACTTAAGCTCTGTTTTAATAAAATTATGCTTACGATAATCTCAATTCAATAACATGTGTAATTGCTTAGACTTATACTTGATTAGTATTAATATAGGCACTACGATTAGTACAATTCGCGTGTGATAAAAAAATACGAGTAACAATATCATAATAACGTGTACATGTTGAACATTTAACATTACCTACCTTTATAAGGTGCCCCAACCACCGTAGGGATAACCGGGTTGACCCTGGCCAGGTGCTCCAGGTGGATGATAGCCTTGTTGTTGCGGTGGATGTGGATAACCTTGCGGTGGTGCACCCGGTGGGAAACCACCGGCTTGCGGGAAGGAATAGGTATCTGAAAATGCGGTTACAAAATGGCGGACTGTTCTAACCTTTGTGTGTATGTAAAAAAAATTAAATTTCAAATTCTTACTTGGATACGGCATAGTTCCGTACGGATTATAACTTGTAGGCATCGGAGGCGGTGCGTACGATGGATACGGCGATTGAACACTCGCCCCGTAGGGCACTGGCATTCCCTGCACGTAAACTGGATACGGCAGGTTGCCTTGTACGCCCTGCGGCGTCGGTTGACTGGGCGCGGATGATGGCGGACCAGTTGGTACGTCTTTGTGATACTCAGGCCGTGCAGGTGGCGCTGGTGTCGTTTGACGGCTACTCTCCTGTGTCAAATCTTTCAACAGCTCTTCTTTTTCGGTTTTACGTGCGAAACAAAAGTCACTGATTTTGTTTTGCGTTACAACCAACAACTATCCGAAGAAAACAATAAAATACACTCAACAATACACAAAATTAACAAAAAAACTAACCTGTGTAAGTTCATTGTAGAACTTAGTGCCCTCTTTGAGATGATTCTGCAAGTCTCGGAAAGCATCGTGTGCAGCCGCGAGTTGACTCATAACCTCATCGCGGTTGTTCGTGGTACTACCACGCTCATTAACAAACTGCGAATGGGCGCTTTGAATCTTCGCGACTAATTCACCTTGTCGTTCGATACTCTGACGAACTTGCGTTTGCAACGGCCCGAAATGCTTACCCAAACACTCCACAGACATCGGCGGTTCGTTAATAGCGCCATCTTTAGCCAACGCGGCCATGAATTCAGCTTTCATGTCAAACGAAGATGAATTTAACTCTGATTCAATCACATCTCGTTCCGCCTTGATTGTTTCAACCTCTTCCATTAGACCTCTTAGAGTACTCACTGCTGATGAATTCGCCAGATTTGACTGTCCACCAGAGGGAACAGCTGCTTCCACAGCTTCTGGACTCTTACTCAACACCTCCATGAATTTACGATGCGTTTCAAACTTCTCCCGGACTGTTTTATCTGCATTCACAGCGTTATTAATAATCTGTCGATATTTCGCAATATTAGACCGGAACATTTCTGTTAATTTATCAGAAGATGTACGTGTCCAACGTTCCTTGAACTGCTCACGAAGTTGCCTATCCGATTGCGCTTCTTCATTGAGAATCCTATCTGTCTATAACCTCAAAATTAATATTTTCAAACAAAACACTTAATAATTACAAATTACCTCATCTAAAATGTCTGTATTCCTCTTTAGAAGGTCCGGTAAATCATTTAACAACGTTTCCAACGCTGTAATCCCCCCGGCGTTCCTCACAGCCTCCGCTTTTTCCAAAATAGAAGGCGGGAGGGTATTCCCTTCGGTTATTTCAATCGCCGCAGGAAGATTCAAAGAAGCCAGCACGCTATTCAACAATTGTGTGGCATCCCGTGACTTTGAAATCTCCACATTCACGAGTTCACTCTTACGCACATCGCAAGCAGCCATCGCTTGATGAACAGCAATCGGCACTAATTCATCAAACAAATCTTTGAAATTTTGACTCATCGGATACGCAGGCGCAATCATTTTAGCCAGAGCGGCTTTACCAATCGGCGCGAGTGATTTTATATCAGGAATACGCTCGTGGTAGATAAAATCGTTATCTTTTCTTGCTTCCGTTAAGTTTCGCTGGACTTTATGTGCTAGTTCAGGGAATAATGCTTTGGATGCTTTTGTCTGGGCGAGTTTAAACTGTTCCTCTGCATTCTAAACATTAAAAAATTAAATTTTGTGTTTTTTGTTGTTTTTTCTTTAAATTACTTACAGTTAACCAAGTTATTTCTTCCCCTACTGCTTTGTTTGCCTTGCAGACTAAACTTTGATATAAATAAGCAATGCCTTGATAAGCCGCTTGTTTACCAAGGATCAAAGAAGTCCATTCGCGGTCGAAGAGACCTTTGTGTGGCTCTTTCTGGAAGATTTTCGCGCAGTCACCGTAGAGATCCTCACAATGCGCGGCTAGTTTAGCAACAACAGCGTCTTTCATGTTGTCTAGTCAATAAAAAAACATTAAAATTTTATTGTTTTTGATTTTTTTTTGTTATAAACTTACTTAAAATTGCTTTGTGAACGAAAATTTCTTGTGCTTGTGCAAGCATTAGTTGCGCCAGAGCTCCCAGCGTGTCTGGATTGAGGTCTGTTGTGGGTTCCTGCTGGATTGATTGAATTACAGTCGCTTTTAGGTGATTGTAGTTACCAGCTGCTTGTTGGAATAATTTAGCAGCGAGTTTTAAGCCTTCATCATTGTCTAAAGCTTGTGTGGAGGCTACAGCACTCTGGAGAGATGCAATATTGAAGAGAACACAGATTCTTTCAAAGGATAATGATGCAATTGCTGTGAATATAAGAAAAATTAGTTTTTTTGTGGAAAAAAATGTAAAAACTTACTTTGACTGCTTCGTACACCAAAAATAGACCCTTTATCAAATGCATCCTTCCATTTGAAGGGTACTTGCATCTCCTGTGCGGGTATCTTACCTTCCAGAGCCACCAGTTGATCATAATACCTTTCAAACAAAAATTATTACAATATAAATACTAATAATTTATCAGTGTGTGTTGACTTACCCATAAATAATCTCCAAACTGCTCTCATACTTCTCAAACGCCCTCCAAATTGCGTTGCTTCGTAACTTGCTGAGGTCATTGATGGCATCGCTATAATCCAGCGGCTGATCTGCAGTGCTGTACCGCGCCTGCAGTAAATTCTTCAACGGCTGGACAATGTCCACGTCCGTTGGCTTCTTCAACGGCACGGCGATGAAGTCAGCCATTTTAATACGCAACACCGGCTATATTATGCAGTTAATTATGACAATACACGATAATTACTCAACGACACACAAGTATCTCGCACGTACTTGTACTTGACAAGAGGATTGCAAATGAAATAATGTGATGGAATAGGTACGTTGTAGACAATAAAACAACCGGTGATTCAACAAACGATTCACACTTTGTGATTGGTTGAAAACCCTACTTTTGTGTCACGTGACCAGGTTAGGTCACGTATAAATTTATTCAAATCATGGTAGGCAACCAGTAAAACACAAATATATATTGGGTGTTTTAAGAAGAAATCATAAAAAATGTATAAAAAAATTGTTTTTACAGTTTTCTTTTACCATTGATGTAAAAGTAAAGCACAGATTAAATTTACAAGGAATTTTTGTACTGCTAGTTGCGTTCCGTTGTTGTAAGTGACTTTTTCATGCAGAAAATAATCATCAAAAGCGTCCCATGCGTCAGTAGCGCATAAAGATTCATATTCCGAATGACAGGAGGTACCCTCTTGACATTCACTGCATGGTGTACCTATTTTATACATTCTTTGATTGGGTATGTTACCGGTAGGACCATAATTACATATTAAATGTTGAATATATTGTACTTTTGGACCCTTTGTTGTTTGAAAAATCACTCTGGCACACCCAATGAGATATGTATCAGCCCATACCAACTGTGAATACATCGTGTATAACCTCTGTTGTCTTTTAGACCCCACAGGTCTAGAAATAGGGTTAAAATAATAACATAACCTTAAATATACACTACTAAAACATACAATTTGTAAGATTGTACAATAGACTTGTTGATATACTCTGCGCCTTGGTACCACATCTCCAACAAATGCATCACACCATCTGTAGCGATACTTCCCCTTGCTATATTCTGCCCTACGGGAAACCTTTCTAAATCTCTACAGATATCATTACCAAAAATGCATTGCGCGGCCCATCTGTCAGCTGTAGCGGCTAATTCATCATCCCATTCAAGCATTCTCATGTTAGCCGCTGGTACCACCCCAGAAGCGACTTTATTCCTGATTGTATTATGTGCATCCACCAGGAGATGCTTTTCTGTGTCAGAAAACAACACAGGGACATAACCTTTACATGCAGGACCAATTTTTTGATTCTGCAACCAAATATACATCAAAAACAGTGAAAAACACAATAATTCATGGAATACCCACCGCGTATTTACACAAAGTATGAGATCCACACTTTTTACCCACCGTTTTCACCTGGACATCAATACAACATGTCCGACAGTATTTATTAGTCGATAAATTTGTATTCTGCGAAGCGTAGAAAGCCAAAGAAGATGGTTTCGTCAACAAAACATTGTCTTCCGTTGATATTGAGGGAATACCATCAATTATCATGAAGATAATTGTAAATATGATGAATTTTTTTGACATTTTCAAGTTTTATTTGTCAAAATATAGGTTATGTGATTATAAAACACTTATATAACATTATTTAACTTGTACATAACGCCCGACAAAAACAACTCGTTCTTCTTTATTGGTGGATTCCTCCATTGACTCAATATGTGCTGCACTAACCTCCAAAGTTGTGGATGTTGTAGTAATAGTGACCAATTCCGCGATTGGTGCACTCCTCATGATAAGAGCAAATAAAAATGGATGCTCAGCAATGAATGGCACCGCATCAAACACTTCCTCCTCTCCGATACGCTCCAAAATATTAACTAATCACAAAAACACAATTATAAATGGTGTACATTTGGTTGCCTAGCGTTGAGGTAACTCTATAAGTACTATATAATCCCAGATTGTTTTCAGGTTAGAATTTTGAGCAAAACACAATTGTTTTAGTCGAGTATCATGTCTAATGTAAGAGTATTTACAAGTATTTACCATTTATGTCTATTTGAGTGTTGCGTGTGTTTGTTTTTAGACTGCGGAAAGTGGCGCGAGTATCCGGCCCACGAAAAGCACGTAATGGCCGAAAGGCGTTTTCATTCGCAGATAGAAAATCGATGGATGGTCCATCGTCCAGTCCACCAACACAAAATTAATCAACCCCAGTAATCAATATACTCTACAACTATGATAATAATATAAATATCGTATTTATTGCGATGCTTTCACACATTTCTCAAGAGATAAAAGCCAAGGGGACAAGCATAGAATAAAATTCTTCTTAAAAGTGTGTTAGAAAGTGCTCGGTGCACTAAACCTGCCCACAAATAGCGGCATTTTCACACTGCGTGGGTGTTCGGCCTGCTGGCGCAAGAGAACGCACATGAGGAACGGATGATCAGCGACAAAGTGCAACTTTGCCACGCGATCCGCCGGCGGGATCGAGAGGGTGATCACGCCACCTTGAAGTGTCAAGCGATTAGTATTTGATTAGTATTTGTGCGAAAGCAACATCAATTTTGAGGTTATGCAGTCAACTTACTTGCTGTTGCAGCTGCTGCTTCAGTTCCTGTTTCTGTCACGTTGATAAACGTCTTCTGGATGACTGTGTTCACTTGCAGATTGTTATCTGGTGTGATATCGGATAAATCAGCGTGTTCAGTGAAGACTTTATCAATTCCCAACTGAAAACAAACACTTTTAGTATAAAATGATGAATAATGCGATAGTACTGACATCTTGCAGGATTTTTTTGTACTTAATTGTAGTTTCCATTGAAAACTTAGGAATCTGTATCCTGACGTGTTGTTTCTTGAATGGTTGATCTTGTAGTACCTCCTCCATACGATGCTCTAACCTTTTCAAGCCGTCCACTTTGTTAGGCAACACAAACACCATCGAAACATCGTGTCCTTGATACGGCAACTCTAAGAACTTCGCATCGAGTTCTTCATTTTCGTAATAATTAAAAAAGTCCGTCAATTGCATCATGTCCACATTGTGTGGTTCCTTATGCTCTGAATAAAATGGCCGCTTGATTGTATCGACAGGATCAAATGGATACTGCCATTTTCCTTTGAAATGCAGTGCATTTGCAAGGACTAATTTGGTTTCCTTGAGGAGATCTTCAGGTGAGATGATTTCCTGGATTTTATTGTTTGTTTTATCCTGTACCCAGTCGTTGATGTCACGTGCGGCTTCGTAGTTGAGTGAGAAGTCGACAGTGTCGACATCTGCATCGAATATGTATCTGGCTACGTCCTGATAGGCTTGTTTTAGTTTAAAGTTGTGGTTTACGAAGAGTTTATTCGCGGATGTTAGAGAATAGAATTCGTTGCCACGAAGTTGTGGCATAAGGTGTCTAAAGATTGTTTTTAGTAATTTTTGGTTGGAGGGTAGTTTTAGTCCTCGGGTGATTTCGGTGGCGGTGTCGCCTTTGGCGCCTAAGGATGTGAGCGCCATTACTGTTTGCACCGAGAGGGGGCATGTCAGGAAGTTGCTTGGTTCACTTTTTGATAATTCCTGTTAAAAAGAAGAAAAAATAGGTTAGAATTGTTGTATGTGTCAAAATAACATTGCGTTGCTTTGCGCATGCGCAGTGAACACTATGGGCGGGGCATATTTACACGTTTTTTTATTATTTCTATGAAAATAAATTATATTTATGTGATTATCTATCTTAAAATTGGTATTTTGATGTTATACGTGAGAATAACATAGGATTCTTCTGCGCATGCGCAGTAAATACTATTGGCGGAGCAAATTTACATGTTTTTTTATAATTTCTATAAAAATAAATTATATTTATGTGTTTTTCTATCATAAAATTGGTATTTTGATGTTATACGTAAGAATAACATAGAATTCTTCTGCGCATGCGTAGTAAATACAATAGGCGGAGTATATTTACACGTTTTTTACTATATCTATGAAAATAAGTTATATTTACGTATTTATTTATCTTAAAATTGGTATTTTGAAGTTATACATAAGAATAACATGGGCAATTTTTGCGCATGCGCAGTTAACTCTATGGGCGGAGCATATTTACACGTTTTTTTTATTATTTCTATAAAAATAAGTTATATTTATGTGTTTATTTATCTTAAAACTGAAATTTGGAGGTTACATGTAAGAATTACTTGATATTTATCTGCGCATGCGCAATATACATCATAGGCGGAGCATATTTACACGTTTTTTAACTATTTTTATGAAAATAAATTATATTTATGTGATTATCTATCTTAAAATTGGTATTTTGAAGTTATACGTAAGAATAGCATTGGCCTATTTTGCGCATGCGCAGTAAACATCATGGGCGGAGCATACTTACACATTTTTCTAATTTTTCTCATAGAAATATAATTTTTTCCCATTTTAAGCAAAAATAATTCATGTCTCATGATAATTAATTAAAATCGCAAATATTACGTCTTTATTGTGGCCTAATTAACGCATTCTTAATTATTTTTTATAAAAAGAATGCGCCGCTTCAATTGAAGCATAAGAATTGTTCTCGTTTGATGCAAGTCACTTCCATTGTTGCTTATTGCTTGTTTCTGTCATCCAGCTCGCTGCATGTTACTCGTAATTATCCAAGTTGTAGTTAAGTGTTAAGCAGTTGAGTCAATTTCAATTAAGGGCGTGAGATTGACAGTTTTTGATTGAAAGCAAAGCGTTTGACTTGTGTGCAATTTGCGTCTTCAAGGTTACAACTATGAGAAGGAGAAGTTGATTGAATTTTGTGTATAAAATTATTCTAATGAGATGAAATCAAGTTAAAAATAGAAATTGTGTATTTGCAATAGTTAAACCAATAAATCAAACCCCTAAGTTTGTATTTGTACATTTGGTTGCGTAACTAATGCGGACTACTTTCAAAGTGGGCAAAATTTACGTATTAAATTAGTTTAAATCAATTATTTAACAAGTTTAAACAAAATTAGAGAAGTTTTTATGATTATTATAAACAATAGCGTATATTTAATTGTTTATTTATTGTTATATCAAGGAAAATTGAAGAAAAACAATAAATATTTAGTTTTTTTGCGAGATTTTAAGAGTCGCAACTTTAATTGTTGATATCTAGTGTAATTTTTAATTTTTTTAAACAAAATACAATATTAGTATATAGCAAATTTAATCTATTTTCAGAATATGTTATTATTTATATAAAAAAAATTGTCTTCCATCTTGAAATTACAAATTATTTATGAAAAACGATGAAAATTTTGCTTTTTTTCTTAAGATTTTAAAAGTTGCAATTTTAGTTGTTGATATCTAGTGTAATTTTTAACTTTTTTAAATAAAATAAAATATCAGTACATAGTAAATTTAATCTACTTTCATAATATGTAAGTGTTTTCTTAGAAAAGTATCGTCTTCTATCATGCAATTACAAAATAAGAAGAAAAATCACTTTTAGGTAAATTTTCTGTGTTGCAACTTTAATTGTTGATATCTAGTATAATTTTTAACTATTTTAAACAAAATAAAATTTTATAACATAGTAAATTTAATCTACTTTCAGAATATGTATTTGTGTCTTTAAAAAAGCATCGTCTTCCATCTTGAAATTACAAAAAAAGAAGAAAAAACACTTTTAGGTAAATTTTTAAGTGTTGCAACTTTAATTATTGATATCTAGTGCAATTCTTAACATTTTTAAACAAAATAAAATATTATTACATAGTAAATTTAATCTACTTTCAAAATATGTGATTATTTCCTCTAAAAAACCTCGTCCTCCATCTTGAAATTACAAAATAATAACTAAAAACACTTTTTTTTTCTAGAAAAAAATTTCCTCACGCAATTTTTAATAAATATAAAATAATGTTAATAAACCTTGCTCCACTGACAAGTTCACTCTAGGCGCTAATTAGTCCACGTTGCACATTCGAGTGCACAGCGAAAAAATGTCGGCTTTTTCAGTTTTTACACACATTTTCGATCGGATACTTTGCATGTAAGATACGAGTAGATATCAGTACACGCCGAGTGTGGTAACAGTCGTCGGTGAATGCATTCGTGTCGCTTTGCATAAGCACGCACTTGTCGGACGAAATTAATCCAGATAATCGACAGGTGGCACGTGAAAATCAACGCAACCACAACGTACTTTTAATTTTTAATTACTTCACGCGGCGGCGACACGCTGCGCACGATTTATGCGTGTTGACTGCGAAGAATGATGAATAAATTCATTGATTCTATCAGAAAAACACATAAATTTTGTTTATTTATAGGGAAATTGTGAGAAACTTGGAAAATTGCTCTGCCAATTGTTTTTATTGCGCATGCGCAGGAGAATCCTATACTATTCTTACGTATAACTTCAAAATAATTATTTCAAGATAGATATACACATAAATATTAGTTATTTTTATAAAAATAGGAAAAAATGGGTAAATTTGCTCCGCCTACAGTGTTTACTGCGCATGCTCCACAAATCCCTATGTAATTTGTCAATGAAAATCATAAAATAATGTTTTTCATCTAAAAATGCCATTTTTAAACATTTAACATCGTTTTTTCTTGCATTTCTTTAAAAAGTCAACATTTCTACACAATTTTTAACCTTAAAAATTCAATTTTAACAAATATTTCTATTAAAAAATTAACTTTCAAGAATAATAATCATTGATTCAATCAAATAAACACAAAAATCTCGTGTATTTGAATAGAAATTGTGAAAAATATGAAAATTTGCTCCGCCCACAGTGTTTACTGCGCATGCTCCATACATCCCAATGTAATTCTATATATAAAACCCTAAAATAATGTTTTTCCTCCAAAAAACACATTTTTAAACATTTTACAACGATTTTTCTTGCATTTATTTAAAATATCAACATTTCTACACAATTTCCAAACAAAAAAAATAATTTTTTACTCATTTTTTCTATAAATAAATTAATTTCAAGAAATATTTGCTCATAACTACTCCGAATACGTGGGATATCAATTGAACACAACTCAATGCCTTATATTTCTATGAATTGTTGATACAAGTTTCCTTACGCGAAACTTTCCTCTACCACCCAACTTGGTGGGTGCACCGAACCATTTTTACCTCTTGTGCCTTCTGCAGTCCTCAATCGAATCGGTGGTATGGGAACACCTCCGATTGATAAAACACGCGCGACTAATTATCGAGCACTCATTGAAAATCACCGTTTGGCGTCGTTTGCACCACGAAGACAAACGCACGACCTAAGCGTGTATTGTATATATAGATATATAATAATTAATATAATATATTGTAATTAATATAAAGTTGAGTTAAATTAATATGCGGCGAGTGCTTCTGTTGATGTTTCTGGGCTTGGCGCACGGCGCGTACAAGCTGCAAGAACAGTTCCGGTGGAAAGCGCTCGACTATGCTTACCCGACGGAGGAAGCGAGACGACAGGCGATTATGAACGGCAGGTTCATACCGGAAAATAATTTGCCTGTCGGGATCGAGATATGGAATAATAAGCTGTTTGTGACTGTTCCCCGCTGGATGGCAGGTAAATTATTTTGATTTTGTTTGTTTTTTGGTTATTACTTGTGAATGGAAAGGTTTTGGAAAATTTTGAAAAGTGAGATTTATAGTAGGTATAATTAGCTACTAATTGAAGTTTGGTTGTTTTTGTAGCTTAATTAGTTTCGGAGTTATTGATGATTAAAGTTTGGGGTTTTTAAAAAATGTGAAAATTGTAATGTTTTAGTTTTTTGCGCAAAACCGGAAAACTATTAAAACTGCATAGTTGTAGTTTTGTAGGCATAATCTTAGATAAATTCTCTATAAAATGACATATTAATTTATTATCTAGCTGCTTAATTAGTTGAGTTATGATGTCGTTAAGTTTGACAATTATATTTTATGCTAGTTTGTGTTTTAAATAAATTTAAAAATGCAATGTTTTAGTTTTTTGCTTATAACTAGAAAACTATTAGACCAACAAATTTAAAATTTGGCAAGTATAATCTTCGATAAATTCTCTTTGAATTAACGTATCAATCAATTTTTATCACTTTAATTACTTCAGTTATCACGCTGCAAAATCCATCAATTTTTCCAAAACAAAAAAAAACAATTTAATTGAATTATTATTCCAATGACGTTTAAAACCGTTATAAACAATTAATTGTTTATCGGAAGTACTAATTATACACTAAAATACTATTAAACACAAGATATACTGTTATTAATCAGATATAATTAAAAGAAATCAATGAAAATAAAAACCGAAGCATAAATTTCAATAAAATTTGAATAAAAAGCAAGAAATGCACAGCCGGCGTGCGCTAATTAAATCTTATCCAAAGTTGCATAATTGCGAAGTGCAGTAAAACGAAGAATGCGTAACGCAAACACGTACGATACAGAAATTTGCATTTTAACGCTGATAGGGATCCTAATTAGTTTCACTTAGACACGTGTTCAATGAAACGTTATAATCAGACACCATTCACAGGGTCATCACTAAATATATCATTAGAATTATTAATTAATTATTAATTATTGATGATATACTTCCTGTGGACATGGTTATGTCAAGGTAGAGTAATGGGGTAATAATTTATTCAATAGAGTCATCTATGTTACTAAAACTTGAAAATTTTTAAGAATTTTTTTACATTTTTTGTTGTAACAAGAAAACCAAAAAGAAAATTGTAATTTTTCTTTTTGTGTCTTATTATAAGTTAAATTCTCTTTCTATTAATGTTTTAGTGAATGTTCTATGAGTTTAATTAGTTGAGTTATAACGATGCAAACCTAATTTAACATTTTTACATTTACATTTACATTTTTTATTTTTACAAGAAAACTATGAAGAAACTTGAAGTTTTTCTTTTTGTGTCTTATTGTCAATTAAATTCTCTTTCTACTAATGTTTTAGTGAATGTTCTATGAGTTTAATTAGTTGAGTTATAACGATGCAAACGTAATTATTAAAAAATATCTGATTTTGACCTAAAAAATGAACTGTTTTACATTTTTTACTTTTACAAGAAAACTATGGAGAAAATTGTAATTTTTCTTGCTGTGCCTTATTGTCATTTAAATTCTCGTTCTAATGAAGATTGAATCAATTTTCTATGATTTTAACTGATTAAGTTATAATGATGCAAACAGAGATGTTAAAACACAGCGGATGAGAAAATCAACATTTACGTTTTATAGTATTACAAGAGAATTAAAAGGAAAAACTGATATTTTCTTTTTGTGGTTATTTTACAATTAAATTCTCTTTCTAATAATGTTTGAATCAATTTCCTATGACTTTAATTAGGTAAGTTACGGTACAGCAAAGTTAGCAAAGAAAAATTATCTGATTTCTGCCCTAAAAGGCATGAAATCTTTTACATTTTTCTTTATTACTCTAAAACTAAACAAAAAATCGGATTTTTTCTTATTTTAACCAATTCTCTATTAAATAAATATATTTATTTTAATTCAATAGACAGGAAAGTGAGCAGTGAGATAATCTCAGTGAGATAATTTCTATGTTACTCATAAATATTTATTTGCACGATTAGAACTAGGCTTATTTGTTCTATTTGTTTTGACTTGGCTATTATAACATGCTACCTACACTATTTGTCCACGAATCTATGAATCTAAGTGTGTTACGAGTTGTTAAGAATCTTGAATTGCATTACGAGTTGGAACTTTCGTCGTTCTGTCGTAATGTTTGCACGCAAAGGAAATTAACTACGCTTGACAGAAAAGAAAAGTTTTATATTTTTGCTTGTAACAGAAAAACTAAAAAGAAAATTAGATTTATTCTTTTTATGTATTATTCACAGATAAATTCTCTTTTTACTGATATCTTAATCAATATTTTATGATTTTTAGTAATTAAGTTACAATAGTGCAAAGTTTTCAATCTGATTTTTGACTCACCATATGAAAAATGTTATATTTTTCTTCGTCAAAAGAAAACTAAACAAAAGTTCTATTCTTTCTTTTGTGAATTATTAACAAATAAATTCTCCTCTGAATTATGGTTTAATCAATGATCTATGATAATAAATAATTTAGTTACATTACTTCAAAGTTTCGCAACAAAACCATTTTGATTTCGAACTCACAAAGACAAATTTTACATTTTTCTTTGTCAAAGGAAAACTAAAAATGAAATTCTATTTTTCTTTTGTAGATTATTAACAAATAAATTCTCTTTCTAATGACATATCATTCAATAATTTATGATTTTTAGTAAATAAGTTACAATTCTTCAAAATTAGTGATCATATTCAATCTGATTTCAAACTCACAAAAAAACAAATTTTACATTTTTCTTTGTCAAATGAAAACAAAAATTAAAATTAAAATTTTTCTCTTTGTAGATTATAAACAAATAAATTCTCTTTCTAATGATACTTCACTCAATACTCTACGACTTTAAATAGCTAAATTATACCACCGCAAAGTTACCATCATAAATAATAATTATACCTGCCAACTAAATATTTATCTATCACGCACTTCTCAACATTTTTATTATTCTGCGGTTGCAACTGCTTTTTAAGTACTCGTATCACATAATTAAACTTTATCTCAAAAACTCATGTTTATTTGACGTAGTGTTAATTATTCACCTTAACAACGTAAATGTTTGCTTAAAACCGGATTTAAATATTTTTCTCACCAGAAATAACGAGAAAAATATTTTAAAAAATCATTCAACTATCCAATCAAATATAATTAACCTGTTATAACACATAAAATTAAATACCGTACGTCATAAAATGTTATTAGAGTATTACTAATATTACTAAGGCAGTACTTGTGTTAAATACCTAGTAATCTGATTCGAAATCAATAAAATGATAAAATATTTCAACAATTTGAAATTGCAGCGCGTTTGACAGTTGCTTGACTTTCGAAAATACGGAATAAAATTAAACCGGAGCCGCCATCAAGTGCATTAACGTTCTGACATGTTATCCTTATCACGCAACATGTGCATTAGTCAATTACACAATCATATGGGATTTGCATAAGATTGCAAAGTCATTATAACTTAGAAACATGTTTAAAAAATGTTTTAAGTTGAGTTTTGTGTGTTGCTAGGTAGATATGCAACCAAACACACATTTTATACAAATTTTTATGCAACCAAAGTAACACAAAGTAAAATAAAGCAAAGAAAGATAAGTTTCATGCAATAAAGTTGATTATAACTATTATTGCATATCAATTAGTTAACTTCTCTGCAAGTACAACTTTTACTCGCATGTAGACTTTCAATTTCTGTTGGAAGTTGAAAAACAACTGTTTTTACTATTCCTGTAGTGTATATACATACGATTTGAGTAAAATTTAAACATTTACACGGAAATATTGATTAGAACTAACATCTGCAACTGTTATTTTGAAATGTTTGAAAGGAAAGTTAATTGATGTCGTCTTAATTTATAAAATAATGTTTTATTGCAATTTGTGATGACAATTTTAAGGCTTAATAACTCAGTTATTTAATATCGTAGAATATTGACTAAAATGTTATTAGAAAGAGAATTTATTTGTTGATACTTTACAAAAAGAAAAAATAGATTTTTTTGAAGAGTTTTCTTTTTATAAAGAAAAATGTAAAATTTGTCCTTTTGGTGAGGTGGAAATAAAATTCGTTTTAATCATTAACTTTGCAGTCCTGTAACTTAGTTAATAAAAATCATAGAATATTATTTTAAACACTATTAGAAAGAGAATTTAATTGTTAATAGTTCACGAAGAGAAAAAAGTAATTTTTTATTTTTGTTAACTTTTTACAAAGAAAAATGTAAAAGTTGTCGTTTTTGTATGTAAGAAACTTAATTCAATTTCATGACTAACTTTGCAGTCTTGTAACTTAATTATTTGATACGATATTGTTTCATACATAATTAAAAAGAGAATTTAATTGTGAATAACTCACAAAAAGAAAAAATCAGTTTTTCACTTTAGTTTTATTTTTATGAAGAAAAATGTAAAATTTGTCTTTTTTGTGAGTCAGAGAAAAAATTTATTTTAATGATTAACTTTGCTGTCTTGTAACTTAATTATTTAAAATCATACAATATAGATTGAAATATAATCGGAAAGAGAATTTAATTACAAATAATTCACAGAAAGGAAAAATCAATTTTTCGCTTTAGTTTTCTTTTGATGAAGAAAAATGTAAAATTTGTCTTTCTGGTGAGTCAGCAACTAAATTCATTTTAATGACTAACTTTGAAGTCTTGTAACTTATTTCTTAAAAATCCTAGAATATTGTTCTGCAAATAATTACAAAGAGAATTTAATTGCAAATAATTCACAAAAAGAAAAAATGAAAATTTCCTCCTAATTTTCCCCTGACAAAGAAAAATGTAAAATTTTCCATTCCCGCACGCAATTTACCGAGATTTCGAACTTTTACACGGAAATATTGATTAAAACAAGCATCTGCACCTGTTTTTCAAGATGTATGAAAGGAAAGTTACTCCATGACGTCACAATTAATATAATAATCACATATTGCAACTGCAATATCATTTTATTTCCACCTATTTATATGTCTCCAATCGTATCGGAATTCTTGAATTGTGCAACTGCTCGCGTTTACTAACTCAAACAATGTGTCATTACTTATTAGGTTAATACTATTTCGTGACTTAATTAGGAAAATGTTTAATTGCGACAATTGAGGCACAATTAAATTGTATTCATTTTTTGTTCCCGCCGTGTCGCAACTTCTCGTTTCTTGATTTCTTGATTTCAATTCACAAGAGACTTGTTAACCGGTTTACAACATTTTCCGTCGTTGGTTTCACAGCAATAACTTTTAAACTAAAACTAATAAAGACATAAACAAAAATTTTAGTATAAATAATACCTAATATAACTAGCTATAATTTTATAAAGAAAAAATTTAATAACATTAATTATTAACGCGTAAATAATGAAAAAATGATGAAAAAACAACGCTAGACATTGTTGGACTTATGATTTTGTTTACTCTCAACTTGATATAAGCGAATTAACTTACCTTGATTGTAAGTTGATTCGTAATGCGTTTTAATCACTAATTAATGCATTAATGAATTATTTAAACATTGCATTGAGATTCTAGGAATGTTTATCTCATGTTTGACCTCTGATCATGTTAAAAACTTGAGGAACTACAAAATAACTTTAAATTTTGTGAAATTTTAATGTAGGCATCCCGTGCACACTCAATAATATTTAATTAATAATAAAAATTTGTTTTCTTAGTTTTTTTAGGAGAAAAAACGTTAAATTTGTCTTTAGGTTAAGTAGAAATACCGATTGATTTTATTGACTAACTTTGCAGTACTGTAACTTATTTATTTAAAATCGTAAAATATTTTTGCAAACATAATCTGAAAGAGAATTTAATTGTGAATAACTCACAAAAAAGAAAAAAGTAAAATTTGCATTTAGTTTTCTTTTTACAAACAAAAATATAAAATTTGTCTTGTTATGTTAGTCAGAAATTAAATTCATTTAAATGACTAACTTTGCAGTCTTGTAATTTAATCAATTAAAGTCGTAGAATATTGTTTTATACATAATTAGAAAGAGAATTTAATTATGAATAACTCACAGAAAGAAAAAATAGAATTTTCCACATAGTTCTCTGTTTACAAAGAAAAATGTAAAACTTGACTTGTTATGTTAGTCAGAAATTAAATTCATTTTAATGACTAACTTTGCAGTCTTGTAACTTAATTATTTAAAATCGTACAATATTGATTCAAACATCATCAGAAAGAGAATTTAATTGCAAATAGTTCACAAAAAGAAAAAATCAAAAATCTCTTGTAATTCTCGTTTGACAAAAGAAAATGTAAATTTATCAGTTAATCTCAAATTTAACCTCAAAAAAAGAAAACCTCAACAAAACTAACCTAAAACCATTTAAAATTTCACTATAGGCATCCCATCAACACTCAACTACATCCCCCTCTATGAAGGCGTCCCGGAATCACCACCACTCATCCCCTACCCAAGCTTCGAAGCAAACGAAGTAGCAAACTGCGAAAATGGCTTCACAACAGCCTACCGCCTCAAAGCCGATGAATGCGACCGATTATGGGTATTAGACACCGGTACCTTCGGCATAGGCAACACAACAACCAACCCATGCCCATACGCCATCAACGTATTCGATCTACACACCGACACACGAATCAGACGGTAAATAACCTACAATACAACAATTCTAACCTCAAAATTAATTTTAAAACATCCCACAGATATGAATTGCGTAAGGAAGACACAAACGCCAACACATTCATCGCAAATATCGCGATAGACATCGGCAAATCATGTGAAGACACCTTCGCATACATGAGCGACGAGTTAGGTTATGGCCTAATAGCCTACAGCTGGGAACAAAACAAATCCTGGCGGTTCGCACACAGTTTCTTCATGCCAGATCCCCTCAAAGGTGACTTCAACATCGGAGGGTTGAATTTCCAATGGGGTGAAGAGGGTATCTTCGGCATGTCACTCACACGCATTCAACAAGATGGCTACCGACTCATGCACTTCTCCCCACTTGCGAGTGATCGCGAATTCCAAGTCTCCACGAGAATATTACGTGATTCCACTAAAGTAGAGTCGAGTTATCACGATTTTACACCGTTGAAAGAACGTGGTCCTTTGGCACATACAACTTCAAGAGTAATGGATGATTCAGGTGTGCAATTCTTTAATTTAATCGATCGTAATGGCGTCGGATGCTGGAATTCGGATAAACCTTATTCTCCGGAGAATTTAGCGATGGTGGATCGTGATGATTTGGCGCTGAGTTTCCCGGCGGATGTGAAAATCGACCGCGAGAAGAACGTCTGGGTGATTTCGGATAAGATGCCTAACTTTTTGATTGATAAGTTGAATTATAACGAGATTAACTTTAGGATTTTCTTCGCGCCTATGGAGGTATTGATTAAGGATACTGTGTGTGAGATTAAACCCGTGCAGGAGTTGAATGTGTTGAATCCGTTTGATTATCAATTGTATTCGAAGAAGCGGTTTTATTATTGAGTGTTGATTGCGGAGGAAAGAAGAAATTTGATTTAATTGTTTATAATGCACGTAATGTCGACGGTTTTCTTTTGTATTTTGTAAATTTTTATTTTTTCAAATATATTTTTGTATTTATTCATTTTAAATTGGGTTTGATTGAGATTTTTAGGTTAATTTGATGTGATTAACATCAGTTATTTAGAGTTGTGTTGACGGAAATGCGTTTTACTCTCACCGGAAGTGAAGAATTCGAATTAAACACCGAAATTTGACCTGAATATTCACGAAAGCATTGGTTTAGTTGGATGAAAAGGTTAATAAACTGATTTTTAGGTTAAATATAACCTAAGTTCAAGAATTTTGACATTTGACATTGAAAACGTTATTTTTATTGATAAAATCAATAAAACTAATTAATATCAACCAAAATCAGTAGTTCTATCACCAGAATAACAGGTTTTGATAGTTATTTTACTCGAAAACTAATAAAAATGCATTTTTTATGTTTTTAGGTTAATTTACGTTGATTAATAGCAAAAATATCAACAAAAATGTGTTTTACTCTCACTAGAAGCTAAAAAACACTAAAAGTTAACCTAAATATTCACCAAATCATTAGTTTTATTAAATAAAATGGAAATTAAACTGATTTTGATGTTAAATATAACCTTACTTAAAATTTTTGACATTTGACATTGAAAATTACTCATTTTATGAAAACTTACGAAACAGGAAGATAAATTCAACAAATTCTTAGAAACTGCAATCCTGCTGGTGAATAATTGATAAGCACACAAAGGTAGCCACAAAATGGCCGCCGTTGGACGAATGCCAACTGATAATCCCACAAACCACAAGAGAGTTGAGTCTACCTCAGTTTTCTCATGTTCTAATACGTTTTTTTCGTACATTTTGAAGTTAAATATAACCTAACTTCATGAATATTGACATTTGACATTGAAAACGTTATTTTTAAGGTCAAAAATCAATAAAAATGATTAATGTATACTAAATTTACTGGTTTTATAACCAGAATAACTGGTTTTGATAAATATTTAACTTAAAAACGAATAAAAACCTCATTTAAAGAGATTTTAAAGTTAATTTTGTATGTGTAGCAGCAAAAATGTCAACAAAGATGCGTTTTACTTTCACCGGAAGCTAAATACACCAAAATTTGACCTGAATATCACCAAAACAATTAAATTATTTGCACAAAAAAATTAATAAACTGATTTTTAGGTTAAATATAACCCTACTTCAAGAAATTTGACATTTGCCATTGAATATTACTTATTTTATGAAAACTTACAAAACAGGAAGATATAAATTCAACAAATTCTTTGAAACTGCAATCCTGCTGATGAATAATTGATAAGCACAAAAAGGTAGCCACAAAATGGCCGCCGTTGGACGAATGGCCACTGATAATCCCACAAACCACAAGAAAATTGAGTCTACCTTAGCTTTTTCATGTTCTAATACGTTTTTTTCTTACATTTTTGAGATTAAATTTAACATAACTTCAAGAATTTTGACATTTGACATTGAAAATATTGATTTTAAGGTCAAAAATCAATAAAAATGATTAATGTATACTAAATTTACTGGTTTTATAACCAGAATAACAGGTTTCGATAAATATTTAACTTAAAAACTCATTTAAAAAGATTTTAAAGTTAATTTTGTATGTGTAGCAGCAGCAATGTCAACAAAGATGCGTTTTACTTTCACCGGAAGCTAAAAACACCGAAATTTGACCTGAATATCACCAAAAAATTAATTAACTGATTTTTAGGTTAATTATAACCTAATTTCAAGAAATATGACATTTGACATGGAAAATACTCATTTTTACTGTCCAAAAACAATAAAACCAATTAATATCCATCAAATTCAATAATTCAATAATTTTATCACCAAAACAAACAGGTTTTGATGAATATACAACTCAAAAACGCATTTAATTACTGTTTATACAAAAATTCAAGTGTTATTCACCTGTTTGAACAACATTTCTGTGCGATTTCTAAACATTCACACTCACACTCGCACAGCGCACACAAACTGGATACATATTTTCCGGTTTCTGCGCCGATTTCAACTCGCAAATACCATAAATACCTTGTAAACAGCCGCGGCGAACGCCCGATTGCTCTCGCCAAAGTCGTAATCGTCTTCCTCGTGCGTGCCACTCGGTAACGCCGAAGACATCTGGCTTGAAATCGCCACCAGCACCACAATTACCATCAGCTTCATCATTGTCTCTATGTCTATGTCTCTATATGTGTATTCACTTGTATTTTACTGCTAGCACAATGTAACAACTCAACTAAACTCGTCTTGGTTGGTCGAACGTCGAATAACAATTGATGAGTCGCACACGTCGCGCGATGAATTGTTTACGGTTTACTGCGCTCGCAAGAAAACCGGACTCGTCCGCGAAGTGGTCGCTTGTTTGTTCAGTTTTATATTCCATTTCGTTTCAACCGTGTGTGGAATGGTTGACCTTGTCGAGCGTGTGCACGGGCCCGCGGGCGAGCGCGAGCTCATCACCGGACAGATAACCGGAATTTAATACGTGATACACGCTAATCATCGCCGTTATCCGCGTTATTACCGAATTACCGAGTTGAAAACTTAGTTTTCGTTAGCAATGCAGGTTTCTTTGTGAATTCTGGCTGTAATTGATGATAAATGAGTCAGTTATCAATGGTTTGATAATGGGGAATACCAAATTTAGTTGTGTGAAGTTTAAAATGACGCCATTTTGTTATTTTTGGATGAATATTGCTTAAAAGTTGTAAGAAATCTAAAATTTAATAAAATTATTGATTATTTTTGGGTTTTTAAGCAAATATCTTGTAGAAAACATGAAATTTGTATCAAAATTTAAGGTTATGTTTGTAAACGACGCCATTTTGTTGTTTTGGTGTTGAATATTGTTTAAAACTTGTAAAAAACCTAAAATTTAATAAAATTATTGATTATTTTTTGGTTTTTAAGCTAATATCATGTAAAAAACATGAAATTTGTATCAAAATTTAAGGTTATGCTTGTTCTCGACGCCATTTTGTCACTTGAACATTGAATATAGTTTAAAACTTTAGTAAAATTGAAAAACTAATAAAATTATTGATTATTTTGATGATTTTAAGCAAATATATAGTAAAAAACATGAAATTTGTAACAAAATTTAAGGTTATGCTTGTTCACGACGCCATTTTGTCACTTTGGTGTTGAATATAACTTAAAACTTTGGTAAAACTGAAAAATTAATAAAAATATTGATTATTTTGATGTTTTTAAGCAAATATCTGACAAAAAATCATGAAATTTGCAATAAATTGTAAGGTTATGCTTGTTCCCGACTTGTTCCCGACGGGTTAACACTTGTGTAAAACCTAAAAACTAATAAAATTATTGATTATTTCTTAGTTTTTAAGCAAATATCTTGCAGAAAACATGAAATTTGTATCAAAATTTAAGGTTATACTTGATTTTGACATTTTCTTAACCAAAAATGTACTGAATACATTTTATGCGTCTATTTCGAGTATAAAAATTCACAAAACATTTAAAAACAGTATTGCCACAAGAAAAACTAAAGCCATAACCACACAAATACTAAATAACCTCTATAACCTTAAAATAATAAAACAAATGTCAAATAAACCAGTAATTGTTAGTAAATGAACACTTTGGGGTGTTATTCCTTAACTAGTTGTCTTTGAGCCTCATTTGTTTGTACTCTTGTTTACATTTGTCATTTTAAGTCGATTATTTGGACAAAAATTAAAATACTACTGCGTATATCAAACTAACCAATTATTTACTGGTTTTATCTCTACCTGAATTCGAATTCTCGCCCTTATTAGTCGGTACTAACTCATGTACGATGACATAACGTCCAATGCGTGCATCCGACACAAATTCAGTGTTGTAAATGCGATGAATCGGTTTGTACCGACTTAGAATATCAGATAAATGTGGTAATAATGCATCAAACGAAACAATGTGGCTTGGAAGAGGTTTGTTTGGTGGGTAATTATTGCGGATCCATGTACTGGGGTTTTTATAGAAGTAATCTGCCTCGTCTTGATAGTTGTCAACTTTTGAGAGGTTAGGAAGGCAGGTTAGGAAACGCACGGTTACGTTTGTATGCAAATGGCTGTAGAGAGGCGTTGAGTGACATGGCATTAAGAATAAAATGTTGGTATTCTCTGGATCTTTGTTGGCAATCTCACGTAGAGGTGTCATTACTTCCAAGTTACCTTTTTGATGCATTGTGCTGAAGTAAATCGCAGGTAGAGCATTGCCGACGAGAAGCACGACTGCAACCAACCATACTAACCAACTGAAACATAATATAACCTCATATTAAGTCATAACCTTAAATTTTCATGTAAAATTGAACATTTTGTTGTTTTTACGTACTCTGAAGCTTTCCTACTCCAAACTGTTAGGAAATCAGCCGAGATATGCAATGCAATCGGCAGGAGTGGCATCAAGAATCGAAATTCTTTGTGTCCCATAAAACTATCACAAAAATATATCAAAATATATGTCATTTAAAGTCAAAACATTAAAATTTTACCTGTATATAAATATAGCGAAAGTAAAACTCGCCAAAAGTGCAAGTTCATCAATAAAAACATGGCGATGTTTCAATACTCGTACAGTTGCAATCAAAAAAGGCACAACTTGCACACCCAAGACTGCAACTAGTCCTTGGGATAAATACCAATGCCATGGATGTGAGCCGTAGAATTCACCAACGCCGTCTAGAACATTCGAAGCAAAGAACTCCCACCATGTGACGACAAAACTGCCATGTAATATGCTGTCAAACGCTGTTGAACCAATCAAAATCAGCAATCTTGAAAACAAAACATTTTTGAGGTTAAATATAACCTTAAACTTAAAATATTTGGCATTTGATAGTAAAAATATTGTTTTTAATGAAAACTTACGAAACAGGAAGATATAAATTCAACAAATTCTTTGAAACTGCAATCCTGCTGGTGAATAATTGATAAGCACACAAAGGTAGCCACAAAATGGCCGCCGTTGGACGAATGGCAACTGATAAACCCACAACCCACAAAAATGTTGAGTCTACTTCAGCTTTCTCATGTTCTAAAACATTTTTTATTACATTAAAGACAAAAAATGATTGATTTTATAAAAACTTACTCGAATACTTTTGAAATGGGAATGTTGACAGTGCGATTGTTGTTAGACAAGTCTCGAAAGTATTCAAAAGTGTTCGTGAGGCTGTATAGAACCAAAACCATGAAATACCAATGCAGAACATTGACCATTTGGTTCTCCCACACCATTTCCAGAAGCAATAATCAGAGAAAGCACTTAAAGTTGCCTGTAGTAATCGTGGAACATAAATCTGAACAAAAAAGCATTAAAAATCATCAAAATCAACTTAAAAACGTGTATAATTTAATATATACCAGCATTTCTGTTGAATCAACACCAATAAGTTGCAGTATTTTATACACAATAGCAATAATTCCTGGATGTAAATAACTGCGAATGCCTTTCGTCCATTCCCAGCTCAAATATCCATATCCATAGACAAATTTATGCGCAACTTCCAAGCTCTGCCAATACTCATCCGGTACAAACCATGTGCTCACAATAAACACGGATAATATTCTGATTAATAACAATATTCCGAAGGCTGCACGATCTTTCATTGTTGAATTTTCGTGTTTATCCAAGAAGTTTGAATGAAAAACTCGCTGAAAAGTGTGGAATTATACGTGTTCAGGTTAGTAGAACCACGTGAGATGCGTGGAAAATGTCGTGGAGTTATTTTTATCACTGGTTTCCAGTTTAATTTAAGAATACTGATGGGATAATCGAATGTATGGAGTTAAACAAGCTGAAATGTTTTGTGTGGCAAGTTGGAGGCTATGTTTACGCGTCGCTGAGTTGTCAAACAGTTACAGAGTGTTTCAAGAGTGTTTATGGTTGAATAAATATGAATTATGGGATAAATTTGTTGTTTTAAGATAAAATATGTATAATATAACATAGATAACATAATTTTGTAGGTTAAAATATAATTTTGAGTAAAAAACGTACGTTTTGGCTGCAAAAAACGCCATTTTGATGATTTTTTTAGGTTAAAATGCCACCGGGGACCAAAATTTATTAAAATTAGTGGTAAATACTTCTAAAACACTTATACAATGTAGTAATTAATAGTAATTACTTGCTAAAACGTTTAAAAAATGTGGTTTTATGTAAATATTCAATTTTTTGGTTGAATTGGCTCAAAATCAAACCAAAATCCACCAATGGGCATCCGCATAAATGTCCCTGGATCCACCAGCGGCGTTTCAGGCATTTTCGCATTATTTTTCACGTGGAAATTACTCAAAATATGCACAAGTGCCATTTTTACTTGTAAAATACCAAAACGCATTCCTAAAATGTCAAAAAATGTCAAAAAAATGACAACGGTAACATTATTATTAATTCTAAACACATACCAACACAAAATCGTGGTCCTTCACCAAATGGTAAGTAAGTAAAGTTCTTAATATTGCTTTTATTCTCTTTGGCGAATCTTTCCGGTATAAATTTATCAGGTTCAGGAAAATATTCCTCATTTCGATGTAGAGCCTCAACAGGGATACAAATCGGGTCCCCAGGGTTCACAATCACACCAGGAATGTTTCCTTTCGGTGATGGGAACTCATATGTCTTCGTACAAGTCTTAAACAAGACCATCATAGGTGTATCCAAACGCATTGTCTCTAAAAACACACAAAACATAACCTAACATAACCTAAAACACTCGAAAGACATTTTGAAGGGTTTAACTTACCAGTGACAACACAATCAAGATAAGTCATGTCTAAAATAGCTTCGTATGTGATACTATCATTGTGTTTTTGTCTGACAAGTTGAATTTCTTCACGAATTTTGTTTTGTACTTCAGAATGTTTGGCAATTTCGAATAAATTGTAACAAATAACCACAGAACTTGTTTCTATACCGTCTCCAAAAAAGCTGGCAGCCTGCGCAGCGACATCTCTATCATCAAACTTGTATTCTTTGGATTTTTCTTTTAATTGACTAATTAAGTCGAGATAATCATTACGGATGATGTTGTTTTCTTTTCTGTAGCGTATGGTTTGAGTAACGACATCTATGAGGTAATTCTGCACGTATTTACTGAAGAAGCTATAAAAATAGGTTAAAAATTATATTTTTGAGGTTATGTTGTTAAAAATATTTAAAATTAATAAAAATAACCTACCCTACTGATAGATATTTACCAAGTGCAGGCATCATAAACAAAATATTAAGTTTTAGTGATTGTGTGAAAGATGGCGTGCCGAAATCACGCGCAACATCAACAAATTCACTCTTTTCACTGTCGAAAGCCTGCGCAGTGAGTCCAAACGCACAGTTTGCGACGTTTTCCGTTGTGAATTGATGCGCGAGGTATTTACCATCAACACAATGATGGCGGCCATCTTGTACACGTTTATTCAAGTATTTTATGAGTTTCTGTGCGGTGTCATCCATTAACGGAAAGACTAACTTCAACTACAAGTAATAAAATGTAAAATTATCAATAAACAAAAGAATATTAATGAAAAATATTGTTTTTTACTTTTCCAGCTGTAAACATTGGACTTATCAATGCTTTAACGCTTTTCCAATGATGTCCTTTTAGGGAAAACAAATTTTTCGCCATTAGGTAATCAGTATCTGCGGAAACTTCAACGACATTGTCTTCAAAGTGGTTGAAATCTTTCACCATAACCTGTCCGATTAGTTCCAAGTCGTTTATTATCAGAGTTGGTGTTAGACATTTGTAGAATCCAATGTATTTATAATCTTTGAACTTCCTGAAACATAAATTGAGGTTATGTTAGTAAATTGGAGGTTATATTAGTAAATTAGGAGTTAAATAGCTAATAAAGGAGGTTAGGTTAATAAATTTGAGGTTATAATGAAAAAAAATGAAGTAAAATTAATAATATTGAGGGTATGTTAATAAATTTCAGGTTATATTAGTAAAATTGAGGTTATTGTAGATTAATTTATGTGTATTTATTCAAAATTGAGGTTAAAGTACTAAAATTGGTGTTATATTAGTAAATTTGAGGTTAAGTTAATAAAATTGAAGTTATATTAGTAAAATTAAGAGCTATTTAAGCTAAAAAAGGAGGTTAGGTTAATAAAATTGAGGTTATGTTGAGATAAAATGACGTAAAATTAACAATATTAAGGTTATGTTACAAAATTTGAGGTTAAATGCGTAAAATTGAGGTTATTTTAGAAAAATTTAAGTTTATTAGTCAAAAATTGAGGTTAAATGAGAGAAATTAAAAATTTTGAGGTTAATTTTAGTTACCTGCATGATTCAATCACTGGAACCATAAAATTCTTCGTCCCTATCAAAGTTTCCCACAGATTTCCAACCAAAAACGTCGGTTTTAAAGTAGGAATCTGCCTTTTCTTCCAATACGAATGACAGTGTTGCACATACAAGTAAAACGTAACAAAAACAACAAAAACCAACGTTAACAAAATCATTTTTGTCTCTCTATAAGTTAAACTGTCTCTAAACTTGTATAGAGATGAAATGAATGCGTTTAATAAACACGAATGATAATAAATATTATGTAAACTATTGCCGCTCAAGGTCACTCCAATATTGATATGACCTAAGGGTCCGCTCAAATCACGCGCGCCAACAATACGGCAATTATCATCAATAAAATGACCTCAATATTTTCTGATTTTAATTAATTTCGGTGTAAACAAACCGAAAATAATCTCAAATCAGTCAGTCAGATTTTTCATGCTCTTGATAAGCATACATTATGACGATAATATGCGTAAAGGATGTTAAAAATTAATTATTCGATAAATATTCATCGGATGGAAATAAAATTGATTCAGTTTTGCGAGGCATTTAATTTTGACACACTTTATGCCTTCAAGGCGGTGGAAATTAATTTAAATAATTAATTTGCATGTGGATTTTGTGGACTTTTTATGTTTGGTTACACTGTATTACGTGTATTGTGTGTTGCATATGTTATATTTTAGTGTTTGGACGGTTTTATAGGTGGCGCTACATGTAGATATCAATATTAAACTCAAAAGAATGATTTTAACATGTTTTTCGCTAAATATTAAATTAATTATTTATTAATAAACCTTATTTTATACTTAATTAAACTTATAAATCTTCAAATGGCGTGAAATTAATTAAAATAATTACTTAACACGAAATTTTTGGTTTTTAAGTTTGGTTACCTTGTATTACGTGTATTGTGTGTTGCATATGTTATATTTTAGTGTTTGGACGGTTTTATAGGTGGCGCTACATGTAGATATCAATATTAAACTCAAAAGAATGATTTTAACATGTTTTTCGTTAAATATTAAATTAATTATTTATTAATTAACCTTATTTTATGCTTAATTAAATTTATAAATCTTCAAATAGCGTGAAATTAATTAAAATATTTAATTAACACGTAATTTTTGGTTTTATGTTTAGTTACCTTGTATTTCGTGTATTGTGTGTTGCATATGTTATATTAATGCATTTATTACTGATGTAACAAGTAACCCCCAAAAAAGTGTTTCTAACCTAAAATTTACAAAATATTTAATTATTTATTCATTACTTGACCTAATTTCATACTTAATTAAATATATAAAATATAATTAGCATAAATTACAATATTTTCCAATTCTTATTCGCTGGATTATTAAATTTTCATGCTTGAATAACGTTTTTTATGAGTTTATTGACTGAATAAAAGTAATGAAAAGTAATTGCGACTTTTTGTAGCGTGAAATGAAACTTTTTTCGATGCTAAATAAAAATTTAATTGCAGTGCGAAGAGAATTCGGGTAAAAAGGGTTAATCTAAATGTGTGTCATTATGCAGACGAATAATATTATCGTAAATTGTGTGTTGTGCGCGTGAATGCGACAGTGTGAGGTAAGTGAAAACACTTGTCGATTATTGCGCGTTAAAACAGTTTTCCTCTCGTGTTATACTGGCGCGCAAAGTGGAAAATGTGGAAAACCAAATAGAAAAGAGTTTCACTCCTGTTTTTCGTGTTTTCGCTTTGTTTTCATCAGGATTACGGAATACATTTTGTTTTTGTGTTGTTCACAGCAAATAATGCAGTTTTTTTAGTTTTTTGCGGTGTTTTTTGATGAATTTAATGTTTTGAAGGTTATTTGATAGGGATAAATATATTTTGCAGAATTGAGAGTAATATCCGGATCCTTTCAAAACATTATCCTTCGAATTCGAAGTGCTTTCAGCGCAAGTCACCTTCCTCCAACCGGCAAATGCCGGATTGGAAGGATGCAGGATGCGAAAGGCACATCAGTGTGTGCTGGCTCTTCGCGTCGTCCTGTTCGTTTACAACTCAACATCGGAAAACATTTTTTATCGCGTAAAATAAATTAATTTTAATTAAATTACAACAAAAACAAACAAAAAATTAAAAAAAAAATTGAAATGGAAATTCATTCGAATGATTCTTTAATTAAAAAATATCCTATAGAATTTTTTACTTTTGATAGTATTATTGATAACAATCGTAATAATACCGATGTGATTTTTGAAAGGAACAGTTTTTTGAATTCGTCAACGAATACGACGGGGAATGTGTTGATGCAAGTAGAATATCCTCGGTTTGATTCACGTGCGCTGGTCGTGGTGATTGTATATTGTTGTGTATTTGTGGTTGCCTGCATTGGTAATGTCACTGTCTTCGTCAATCTTTTCCGGTCACGTCGCCGGAAGTCTCGCATCAGTTTCCTTATTATTCATCTCACCGTCGCGGATCTTATTGTTACATTTATCATGATACCATTTGAAGTAAGTGAGAAAAACATTCTAACCTCAATTGACCCCTATTCATCTTCCAATTAACTTTTAAACATGGCAACTGATGAATTGGCGTGATTCATCACGTTTCTCTTTCATTTCCGTGTATTTTCCGAATAATTTGGTCAGACTAATGTTGATAGCCTTCACGTGGGGTTAAATTACTCCTTTCAAGTTCATTAATCCTTCCGTTTTAATCCTATTAAAGGATAATGAAACCTCACACGCTTTTTGGTCCTTCAAAGGAGTGTATTATTAAAATGTTTGTGTTTTTGATAAGATTGCATGGCGTATCACTGTGCAATGGTTGGGTGGCAACATCGCCTGCAAGATTCTCCTCTTTTTCCGTGCATTTGGTCTCTACTTGAGCAGCAACGTGTTGATCTGCATCTCCCTGGACCGTTACTTCGCTGTGGTTCATCCGTTAATGATGACCAACAAACGTAGTCGTGGCAAATGGATGCTCTACTGCGCTTGGTTGGCGTCAACTTTCTACGCCTCCCCACAAGTATGAATCAACACAATCACCTTTACTAATTACTCCTTCAGAAGTTGTGATGAATTGTATTCGTATTATATTCCCGACGTAGATTTTAATCTTCCACGTGGAAACTCATCCGCACTTCGCTAACTTCACGCAGTGTGTCTCCTTCGACTCGTTCGCATCGCCACGCCATGAATTCCTCTACAACATTCTCTGTCTGACGATGATGTACTTCCTGCCGTTGACGATCATCATCGCTGCTTATGCGTCTATATTGTATAAAATGTGGCACAAAGCACGCGAATCCTCAAAGGAAGAAGTCAATAATACACAATCAACAAATTCATCAGAAAAAAGAGGTAATTCAACAAACATAACCTACAAACAACTTCAATCAGACACATATAGATGGCGCCACATTACAACAACATAACCATGATATTAATATTAACATCACATATATTTTCAATAGTGTCAAATATCAACGAACCACATCACTCCAAATGTAACTCCAAATATTCAGCACCTTTAGTAAGACACAACAATTCCTCCGAGAGTAAAGACTCCGCAAGCAGACGCAGCCGCAGCACTCTCAAAGGTTAATAAATATTAAACACCGCTCGGAAACAAACAGAATAAACTACAACCCTGCTTTTATCTTTTTTCTCACACAGTTTCCAATATCAACGCGACAACACCCACTCCATCTCATGAAAAAATCCAAGTGCGAAAACACAGAGATCACGTTGTCCTGCGTCGATCTGATGCCAAGTGTATAGAACGAGCACGCCGCAGGACGCTCAAAATGACAGCTGTAATCGTGATTGTTTTTGTGGTTTGTTGGACACCATACGTAGTAATGGCATTGTGGTAAATTCACTCCCCACCAAAAAAAAAAATCAACATATTTTCATTTAATTAACTTTTGATCATAAAAAAATATTTTAATAAAATTTAAATTAATTTTTATCATGGCAGGTACATGTTTGATCGTCAAAGTGCCCAAAAAGTCCCTCTGTGGCTCCAGGATGGATTGTTCATGATGGCGGTGTCAAATAGTTGCATGAATCCTTTGGTCTATGGCAGGTACACGGTGAGAACCGTTGTGGGTGGGAATCGGTGGCCAAACACCACGTCAAAGTGCTGTTTGTTTGGTTGCGCGGCACGCAAACGCAGCGTGATCATAATCGAACCCCGGATCAACAATAGACGAAAAAAATACGGTGAGTATTAAGACTCGCCGAAGAAAAAACAACAGTGTAATAATTCATTATGTTAACCTGATTAATTTCCTCGCTGTGTAATAATTTTTTCCACTTTTGTTGTGTATCTTTGCTGCTCGTTGAGTTAAATTGAACTTTTTGTGTGTTTTTCGTTGTTTGTTTATATTTACACGCCGAGTTTCGGAGTTTTTTCGAGGTTTAAGTTGATTTTACATGTTTATAATGGTAATTAACATTAAATAATCCAAAAACCTTTTTTTCTTAAATTAAATAGAAAATGTTATTTTTAGTTAATCGGCCATTGTTATCAATGGTAAATTTTACATCTGATGATAAGAATGGTAAAGAGGTTGAAAATTCACCAGAAATTAAAAACCAATTTATATCGTCGCGCAAAAGTCATATTGATGCAGTTGGGGTGGAGGCGCTTGGTGGAGGCGCCGGGATGCATATGGATTATAAGCGTTCCACGCTGGCACGTCCCAAGTCGTCTTGGCAACACAAATTATACGGGGATCAGCAGCCGGATCAAGAATATAATTACGTGTGTGAATATGAATGGAGTCGTGGAAATTGTATTCGGAAGAAAACGAAGGAATTAGTTATAAACTGAAATCTGATATAATTAACACTTTAATTAACAGGGTATTTTATGTATGAATAAATATTTTAAAGAAAATATGTGTGATTTTGTTATTTTTAATTATTTTGTCTTCTAGGGAATAAAATAAGTTTTAATATTGAGAATTAATTATTCATAACCTCACTTTTTTTTTCATTTTGAAAAGAGAATTTATTATAATGCGTTTATCATTGATGACTTAATGGAATTCTTGAATAATTCCACAGTTTTACTCTTGACGACGAAGGAAATATTTAAAAGTTTTAAAATTTAAAGGAAATATTAATTATTTATTGATAATTATTATGAATAACTAGATTTATCCCGCGGCTTCGCTCGCGTTGCATCCATCAAATAAATATTAGAAATCAATGAAGTTGCTTCCGTACGCGTCTGTAGCCACAGAAGAAGTAGCAATGAAGTAGAATGGCGGGAAGTTTAAAATGGTTGAAAGTATAGTCTATGGAAGTATAGTGTACAGTCTCCATAGTGTAGTCAATTGGATTTGATGTTGACGTAGCTGTCGGTAATACAGTGTGATAATACAGTGTGATGGTACTACAGAACTTAGGTTTGAGCTTCATTGCTGGAATGCTAGATGGCGTTAAAGAAGTCAAATAGCCAGATGCAGAGGTATTATTGGCTAAACAATTTCTTTATTTTATTTAAAATATAATTTTTTTATTAACTAAAAAGTTGCCTATAACCATTCGGGGACCACTAAGAATATGTGTAGAAATTTTCATGTTCATCTGTTAAGTAGTTTTTGCGTGAAAGTGTAACAAACATCAGGACTTTTGCATTTATAATATTAGTAGGGGTTAATAGTGAAATATTTGTTAAATATTTGTAGTTGAAAGTATTTTGAACTTAATTTTTATGAAAGAAAGCAAATTAATTAATAAAAAAATGAATTTTTTGCTTTTTACTTTCATAACGACAGTTTTTCCACGGTTTTTAAAGACAAAAAGTGGTACTTTAAACACGGGCGTCCAAAACTGTGACTAAAGTACTTTATTCACTGGTTTTAGTCACGGGGTGGAGCTTGCCTCTACGTATTAACCTACGGTACAGCATAAAAAGTAATAGAGTACAATTAAACATGTGGTATCATACTGCGCATGCGTAAAACTGTCCAATGCTATTTAAATACACTCTCCACTAATGGGCGGAGCAAATCGCACGTAAAAACACAAGAAACTCACAAATATCAATCGATTACTGTCGAATAACATGAATGAACTCATTTAATCCATACTAGAATAGACTAGAAGCGAATTCTTTTATTATTCAGCAAAGTCTCACGTTCTGCCAAGTTTCCGATAAAAAAAGAAAAACTTCCACCAATCGTGCGTGAACTGCGTTGAAGTATTAATGGATTACAGCCAGCTTCCAACACTCTATTCCTCCCTGTATTCTTGTAATAATTTTTCTTATTAATTTATTTCTTATTAATTAAAATAATAAATTAGATTTAACCCACATGCATTTTTCATCATGTAAATTGTTATAATTAATATTATATTAAAGCACGATGATTACATTACATTATCCTTCGACTGGCAAGTATGCTAATGTTCGTAATTTTATTTAAGTGCATACATTAAATATTCTTGTCGGTTGAATTAATGAGCATGTTAATTAACTTCATCCAAAATTAATTATAGGCAACCACAACCATAACCACAACTGCAGCAAACTATAGTAAATTGTATGTTTTGTGGTTTTTTATTTAAACCAATCAATCAATTAATTAATTTAATAGTGTCAAAAAGTAAAAAAAAAAAATGAAAAATTGTTGAAAACTTGTCTAATTAGGTTATGTTTTGACATATTTGACAACATAACCTATAATATAGCCTATTTTAATATGTAACAAAGAGAATTATATTATGTTATTAACATGTTTCTTAAATAAATAATAATTTTTACTAAAAACAAAAATATTTAAATTAATTTTAGTAAAATTGCTAATTATTTGTGATATTTATAAGTAAAAGATAAACAATTTTGCACAAACAAATGAATAATTAGATAAGAAATTATTCCTTATCTAAAACATGTTCACCCAAGGAGTCATTATCGTGATTACAATTACCAGCATAGCAAAGCATGAATTTTTAACAATATCGCTTACAATTCCAATTCCATTGTGCGCTTGGCGTTGTGTTGTGGGTTTTACCCGTGACAAAATAATCGCGCATTGACACGTGTATCGAAACCACAGATTGAGGCATTCGCTATCGCTGTGTGCGCGTGTTTAGTGACGCAGAACGCATCGTGAACTTTGATAAATAATCAACAGCCATTACTACCCTAACAATTACATCCACATCCACATTAATCCCTACTAATATTATAAATGCGAAAGTCCTGATGTTTGTTACACTTTCACGCAAAAACTACTTAACCGATCATCATGAAAATTTGTACACATATTCTTAGTGGTCCCCGAATGGTTATAGGCTATTTTTTATTTAATAAAAATAATTATTTTTTAAATAAAATAAAGAAATAGTTTAGCCAATAATACCTCTGCATCTGGCTATTTGACTACTTTAACGCCATCTAGCATTCCAGCAATGAAGCTCAAACCTAAGTACTATAGTATCATCACACTGTATTATCACACTGTATTACCGACAGCTACGTCAACATCAAATCCAATTGACTACACTATGGAGACTGTACACTATACTTCCATAGACTATACTTTCAGCCATTTTAAACTTCCCGCCATTCTACTTCATTGTTACTTCTTCTGTGACTACAAACGCGTGTGGAAGCAACTTCATTATTTTAGATATTCGCGAGCGAAGCCAAAGGTTAAAACTAGTACCTATATAAATGGTAAGCATTCATGCGTTCAAGGTTGCATAATTGCATAACACAAATGATTACCTACAAGTATTTATAAGCAATTAACAGTGTGTATAATGCAGTATTCAACAATAACTTCCACGGAAAACAAAGTTAAAAAATATTAAAATAAAATAAAATAAAATTTAACCAAAAACAAAATGGCGGGTAAATTTATCATATTTGGGTTGTGTTTGATGTTTGGTGTGACACTGGCCCAAAATGAGGGATCTCGTAAGTAGGATCACAGGATATGCGTGAATTTGTAATTCATTGTCATTTTCCAGCCGGTGGGATTAATTGCACTCGCACGAATGAAGAATACGCATGCGGGAGCGCCTGCCAGACGACCTGCGCGAATCTAGGGCAGCCCTGTCCGATTATCAATGTCCGCTGCAATGATGCCTGCTACTGCAAGGAGGGATACGCACGGATCAGTGGTGATCAAAGCAAATGTATTCCGGTAGCCGATTGTCCACCCAGGGGTAATACTTTTCCTCAAAAACATTTTTTTATTCATTTATAATCCTTGAATAAAAATAATAATAATAATAATACTTGTAAAATTACTAATTTCAATTTTCTGGATAAATTTATTCTTCACGCCTTCTTGTTCGAGTGATAGTTTTCCAACTTTTTGAATTAATAGAAAGATAGGAAAACTTTTCATGCAATTTAAACTTTTCCCAGAAACTTAACCTAACTTTATGTATGTGCCATTGACATAACCTAACTTAATTCAATCTAACCTTAAATATGAAGTGCATGTAAGTATTGAACAAGCTGATATTTGATTAACACGACACTAGTCAACTGTAAGAGTCATCGACGCAAGGATAATACGAAGCTGCAAAGGTACATTCCTTGCTGAATAACAGCGAATATCGAGAACGCGGAAAATAAAATTACTCTTCTCTTCCTTTCGCACCAGTAGCAGATGTGTGTGCTTGGAGCGCAAGTCAGCTGCCACAACGACCGCCCAATTCACGAATGGGAGGATGTAGGATGCAAGGATGAGAGGATTCGGGCACAGTGTGTCGTGATCCTTCGCGTCGTCCTGATCGCACACATTTCTACTCCGGAATATTTTTATAATCTACGTAAAATTAAAATAAAATAAAAATAAAAATTTTGATTTGAATTAAATTAAATTATGAAAAACGTAATTGAATTTTCTACGTTTGATAGTATTATTGATAACAATCGTAATAATTCCGATGTGATTTTTGAAAGGAATAGTTTTTTGAATTCGTCAACAAATAAGACGTTGAATGTGTTGATGCAAGTGGAATATCCTCGGTTTGATTCACGTGCGCTGGTCGTGGTGATTGTATATTGTTGTGTATTTGTGGTTGCCTGCATTGGCAATGTCACTGTCTTCGTCAATCTCTTCCGGTCACGTCGCCGGAAGTCGCGCATCAGTTTCCTTATTATTCATCTCACCGTCGCGGATCTTATTGTTACATTTATCATGATACCATTTGAAGTAAGTGCGAAAAACATTCTAACCTCAATTGACCCCTATTCATCTTCCAATTAACTTTTAAACATGGCAACTGATGAATTGACGTGATTCATCTCGTTTCTCTTTCATTTCGGTGTGTTTTCCGAAAATTTTGGTCAGACTAATGTTGATAGCCTTCACGTGGGGTTAAATTACTCCTTTCAGGTTCATTAATCCTTCCGTTTTAATCCTATTAAAGGATAATGAAACCTCACACGCTTTTTGGTCCATCAAAGGAGTGTATTATTAAAATGTTTGTGTTTTTGATAAGATTGCATGGCGTATCACTGTGCAATGGTTGGGTGGCAACATCGCCTGCAAGATTCTCCTCTTTTTCCGTGCATTTGGTCTCTACCTGAGCAGCAACGTGTTGATCTGCATCTCCCTGGACCGTTACTTCGCTGTGGTTCATCCGTTAATGATGACCAACAAACGTAGTCGTGGCAAATGGATGCTCTACTGCGCTTGGTTGGCGTCAACTTTCTACGCCTCCCCACAAGTATGAATCAACACATTCACCTTAACTAATTACACCATCAGAAGTTGTGATGAATTGTATTCGTGTTATATTCCTGACGTAGATTTTAATCTTCCACGTGGAAACTCATCCGCACTTCGCTAACTTCACGCAGTGTGTCTCCTTCGACTCGTTCGCATCGCCGCGCCATGAATTCCTCTACAACATTCTCTGTCTGACGATGATGTACTTCCTGCCGTTGACGATCATCGTCGCTGCCTACGCGTCCATCTTGTGGAAGATGTGGCGCAAGGCACGCGACTCCAAGCGAGACGAAGTTGCCGCCCGCGGCTGTAATTCCTCGTCAACCAAACTCACCCATTCTTTGGAAAGTAAAGGTAAAAGTAATTACAGGGAGTAATTATCCAATACAACAATCTGACATGACAGGTTTTATAAAATCATCAAACAGAAAAAAGAAAGAAAACTGTAATTTGATAGCTGACACATAAAATTTAAACTAAAAAAAGTAGAAAACTGTAATTCGATAGCTATCATATTAAAACTAAACTTAAAAAAAGTAGAAAACTGTAATTCGCTATTCACCACTACAATACCATTAGTAATTAGTATTAAATTACAGTTTCCTATATTATCCACAGGTGCAATAATCAACATAATAACTTTACTCATATTCCACACAGTTTCCAACATGAACGAGACAACATTCTCGCAGGAACGCAGTCAGGTGCGAAAACACCGCGATCACGTCATCCTCCGCCGCTCGGATATGAAATGCATCGAAAGAGCCCGCATACGAACCCTCAAAATGACAGCTGTGATTGTAATTATCTTCCTGGTCTGTTGGACACCCTACGCTGTAATGACGCTGTGGTAAATACTCCAACCACCAAATTAATCCTTATTATTTCCTCTTTAGGTAAACTTTACTTTGTTTAACTTTGATTTTATTTCTCCTCTGCTTCCAAGCACGTAAATTTGATTAACGCTTTGGACTTGTATTATTTTGTAATTATTTCCTGTGTGTTAGGTACATGTTTGATCGCGAGAGCGCCCAAAGAGTTCCCATGTGGCTCCAGGACGGATTGTTTATGATGGCGGTGTCGAATAGTTGTATGAATCCTTTGGTCTACGGCCGCTACAGCGTTCAAACCGCCGCTGGGACGCGAACAACGCGCTGGTGTTTATTTGGTTGCTTCCCTTACGTTCACAAAAAGCACGCACGCAACGTGTCAATAATCGAGCCGAGGATCATCAATAAACGCAGACACTACGGTAAGCCCTACAAATATTATAAATGCGAAAGTCCTGATGTGTGTTACACTTTCACGCAAAAACTACTTAACCGATCATCATGAAAATTTGTATATATATTCTTAGTGGTCCCCGATTGGTTATAGGCTACTTTTTATTTAATAAAAAAATTATTTTTTAAATAAAATAAAGAAATAGTTTAGCCAATAACCTCTGCATCTGGCTATTTGACTACTTTAACGCTATCTAGCATTCCAGCAATGAAGCTCAAACCTAAGTACTATAGTACCATCACACTGTATTATCACACTGTATTACCGACAGCTACGCCAACATCAAATCCAATTGACTACACTATGGAGACTGTACACTATACTTCCATAGACTATACTTTCAGCCATTTTAAACTTCCCGCCATTCTACTACTTATAATCCTATAAGTTTATATAGTAGGCAACTTGTTATACACTATAATGTATATTTGGTTGCAGTTACTGGCGGTGGAGGGATATTACCAATGACAAACTTCATGCCCATTGTTGACGAAAAGCATCTCATCAGAAATTCATCCCAGGGACTTAAGCTACGAGTGGGTGGAGATAACCAAAGTATTAATGAAGTAGCCATGGTTGAAGACAGCGGAGCTGGAGGTGGAGAGATGAGGGATTACAAGCGCAACTCGGTGTCGGTCTCGTCCTGGCAGCGTGCGTGTTTTCATTCAGCAGTATCACAACCACGAGCGGATTTCCACGCGGAACACGAACATGACCATAATTGGCACAGCGGGCGGAGTGACGCAAAGAGTGAAAGTGGAAAAAGTTCGAAAAGTGTGCGCATCGACGAGAAATTCATTTATCACAGATAAAATGTTCTGCCCCAGGGTAATTAAATGTGATATTTATTATAGTATTAATAGAATACGGATTTAAAAAAATTTATGTGAAAAATTCAAACTTTTTGAAATATTTACTGTAAATTAATAAAAGAGAAATGTTTTTTATATTTTATATGTATATTTACTATAATGTGAGCATATTTATCATTTTTATTTGGTGTCATTAATCATCAAACAGGCAACACAAGAAAAAAAGTCGCGAAAATGTGAAAGATATGCGAAAAAAACTTTTATTTTTTTATTTATTTTTTATTCACAAATTGCTTTTTAAAAATATGAAAAATATTCATCGGGTGGAAACCTTTAGTAAACAAGATTATCGACCTCAATAAATATTTTAGAAGGTAAAATATGAATAATAAATTGGTTAATCATCAAATTAATTTGATTTAGAAGAAATTTTTAATGAAACAAGCCTTCCTGGATTTCCTGGAAGACATAATTGATAAACAGGAGTAAAATATCTTTTATTATCCTTGTTATTTACTGTGTTCATCCTTCAACATTGTTATTCTATATTTAATGTTATAAATTTATATTTCTTTGTACTTCAGATATGATTCTTGTAAAATATAATATACTAGCTTTATCCCTTGGCTTCGCTCGCGAATATCTGAAATAATGAAGTTGCTTCCGTACGCGTCTGTAGTCACAGAAGAAGTAACAATGAAGTAGAATGGCGGGAAGTTTAAAATGGCTGAAAGTATAGTCTATGGAAGTATAGTGTACAGTCTCCATAGTGTAGTCAATTGGATTTGATGTTGACGTAGCTGTCGGTAATACAGTGTGATAATACAGTGTGATGGTACTATAGTACTTAGGTTTGAGCTTCATTGCTGGAATGCTAGATGGCGTTAAAGTAGTCAAATAGCCAGATGCAGAGGTATTATTGGCTAAACAATTTCTTTATTATATTTAAAAAATAATTTTTTTTATTAAATAAAAAGTAGCCTATAACTATTCGGGGACCACTAAGAATATGTGTACAATTTTTCATGATGATCGGTTAAGTAGTTTTTGTGTGAAAATGTAACAAACATCAGGACTTTTGCATTTATAATATTAGTAGGGATTTTTATTCCATTTAAACTTGAAATTCCAGTTTAATAATATTTGTGTATTAATTATTTTGATTTTTGCGATTTGATCCCAGTTGCAACCCGGAATTGTTATTATATTTAATAAATAAACATATATTTATATTTATTTCTATTTATTTATTTGGGAATTTCATCTAGTTCAATGTTTTACGTGCTTGAAATATGAATAAAACACAAAATTTGTATTCCATGCAATAAAAGAGAAAAATTAACTTTTCCACTTTAAATCGTCCTTCACATGCGTAAAAAATTCATGTTGAGTACATTGAGTACATTGACACAGCGTTTTTCTTTGTCTTTAATATTTTATTTCAATTTGTGTCACTTGACACTTAATTTTTTGCTATTTCTGTTGCGAATTTAATAATTCATGGAAGAGACGTGTTTATTTCGGAGACACAAAATCATTTTAATACATTTTTAGTTTTTCTTTTCTTTTCTTCTTAAATATTTTATGAAAATAGAATTGTAATGTTTTTATTTTTAAATTTGTAAATATTTGAAAATAAATGTCAAATAAATTTGGTAATATAATTGGTTTGGTGGTAAATAAACTTGTTTATTACATTACTGTAATTTTAATTAATAAATGAAAATTCATCTAAAATTAAAATTGAATTAACTTGAATGACTCGTTCGGAAATTGAAAGCAAAGCATTTCATGTGCAATAAATACGCGCAAGCGGAAATAGAAACGCATTTTGGTTCATTGTTTTGCTTCATTCATGAATATTATCTTTGGTTGTTTATTAGAGTCATTAATATGCTTTATTACTACTTAAACTTGAATTATGTATTGTATTTTAACACGTTAAATACGTTATTATTTAAAAGAAAACAAAAAACGTAAAAAATTAATTTTTTGAAAAGGTGAAGTTTTAAACACTCTGTATTTACTGATTGCGTGGGTTAATTTCTATTCTGTTTTTGGCATTATATACCCGATGGTTCGCTTAAAATAATAGACACATTTTACACTCCGATAAATATCAAGAAATACTTTAAAATTTGGGTCAAAATTAACAATTTTTTGGTAATTTACAAAAAATCGATGTGAAAAACACCCGGTATCTTTTGAACCCGTGCATCAATTTTAATTTTGTTTATTTTATATTAAAGCGGAAGAGTTGCTTAATTAAACTACCGTTTTTCAACTCATTAATATAACCGGAAGTATCAGTAAATCATAGTTGAAATTGAGTATTTTTTAAAAAATTCAAAAAAATCATTTTGAAAAACACCCCGTATCTTTTGACTCCTTATGCTAATATTAATTTTGTGTATTTCAAATTAAAGCAGAAGAGTTGTTTAATTAAACTGAGGTGTTTCCGGTTCTCTCAAGTGTCAGGAAGTGTCCTTAAATCCTTATCAAAATTGAGTATTTTTCATTAATTAAAAAAATGTATATATAAATAAAAAACTCGTTTTTTTTCTTTTTTAACGTATTAATTACCATATTATTATCAATAAACACCAATAAAAATAATAAACCACGCAACAATAATACTCGAATCATAAAACACCCATAGAAATCACAATTACACACGTAAAAGCACTGAATGAGCAAAAAGCGAAGAACGCAGGACTCAAAGCTCGCACAAAGCTCGTCCTGCAGCCCCCCTTCTTGCCGAATCCTAACCAGTTGCTGACGACGCGGCGTCGAGCCAGGACACGCACATCCCACGCTCCTTTCATCTCCCAAAAAAGCGAAATTTCCCACCAAAAACGCGCAAAATTCAAAATTCAAAAGTAAAAACAAAAACAAAATATATTCCGTAATGTATAGTTTGTATGAGCCGAGTGCAAACAATGCGAGTGCGGCACGCATGAGTGAAAGTGGCCAGGCCGTAAACGGAAGTATGTCCTGGGAGAATCGCGAGTTAGTTGAGCGGCTGAATCCGGATGTGGAAATGCAAACGCCGTCGAATGATACGCTATCGGTGCCCGCATTTGACGATCGTGCATTGGTCGGGGTTATTATCTACGCGTGTGTTTTTATTGTTTCTTCGGTGGGCAATCTTACGGTTTTCATCAGTATGTGTCGCTCGAAGCGGAGGAAATCGAGGATCACGATGTTGATTATACATCTAGCTGTTGCGGATCTCATCGTTACTTTTATCATGATTCCGTTGGAAGTAAGTTGGAATTTTTTTATTCGAAAGCAGATAAATTTTTATTTTTAGTTAATTAATGGTAAATTTAACAAAGAAATTGTTTTTTTGGGGTTAAAACATCAAAATTTAATCTTTTTTGTTTTAATTTTGAATTGAAAGGCTAAAATGTGTTTTTACCGCCATAGGGCATTACTTAAATTTATAATAGAGTTGTTTTTCTTTTCTTTTATTCATTATTTATTATGATTTTATGTTTTAATACCAAAAAATAAATAAATTTTGTTTGCTTATTAAGTTTTATACATTTTAATAGATTTTTGACTTATTTTTGTTTTTATTCGACTGCTATAAGCGTACTAATTGCGTTTGAAATGCTGTAATGCTTTTGAATGATTAATTAGTTAATACTTTATTTGTTTATATATAATTTTATGTTATTTTATGAGTAATTAGCTAATAAATTAATAATTAAACAGAAAAAAAACGCATTTTTCTGTGAAAATTTGTATTTTTTTGTTAGTTTGAAGCAAAATTTCAATATTTTTATTATTTAAATAAACATAATCTAATGCAGAATTTTATTATCTATCTATACACAAATTAATTATTTATTATCTCTTTTAGTTTAGAAGTTACACGCGATTTATCAACATTTTCTATTTTTACATTTCATCAACTTCAAAACTCAATTTTTTGTTTAAAAAATTCCTACAAGAGTACTAATTACGTTATAAAAGTTGTAATACTAATAAATTATTCATTACTTAATACTTTAGGTGTTAATATATAGTCTTTCTCAATTTTATTACTTTTTAACCTTTAAATTAATCTTTAAACAACAAAAAACATTTTTTTGGGGAAAATTTATACTTTTTTTGAATTTTCATATTTTTATTATTTAAATGAACATAATCTAATGCAGAATTTTATTATATATCTATATAAAAAAGAATCAATTATTTATCTCTTATAGTTTAAAAATTACGCGCAATTTATCAACATTTTCCATTTTTACATTTCATCAACTTCAAAACTCAATTTTTTGTTTGTAAAATTCCTACTAGAGTACTAATTACGTTATAAAAGTTGTAATACTAATAAATAATTAATTAGTTAATACTTTAGGTGTTAGTATTTAGTCTTGCTATATTTTATTACTTTTTAACCTTTAAATTAATGTTTAAACAACAAAAAACATGTTTTTTGTGAAAATTTTAACTTTTAATTCGAATTTCCTCCCAAATTTTAATACTTTCATTATTTAAATAAACATAATCTAATGCAGAATTTTATTATATATCTATATAAAAAAGAATCAATTATTTATCTCTTATAGTCTAAAAGTTACGCGCAATTTATCAACATTTTCCATTTTTTCAGTTCATTAATTTCAAAACTCAATTTTTTGTTTAATAAATTCCTACAAGAGTACTAATTACGTTATAAAAGTTGTAGTACTAATGAATTATTCATTAGTTAATACTTTAGGTGTTCATTTATAGTCTTGCTCAATTTTATTACTTTTTAACTTTTAAATTAATGTTTAAACAGCAAAAAACATTTTGAAATAAAAATTTACAATTTTTTGTATTTCCACCCGAATTTTAATACTTTTAATATTCAAATAAATAAAATTTAATACAGAATTTTATGCTGTATCTACACAAAAAAATTAATTGTTTATCTCTTTGTATTAAAAAGTTATACGCAATTTTGCAACAAAACATAAAATGGATAATCATTTCAAAACAATGTTTCCCTTCAATATTTATTAATTAAAA